GGCCCTAGTAATTAGAAGTTGGTAGGCGGTGGCCGACTCGGTGGTGTGGCCGACTCGGTGGGGAAATACGTTAGTTAACTAGTTAACTATATTTATCTCCAATTCGCGTCCGGCTTCAACTTCAACGTCAACACTCGGGCCTGGATATTGATGCGACGACCCATCAGAGATAGATATAAAACTGCATTTCAATCTCTGTAGACTATTAAGAGGTGGTGGACCTCTCCTATTGGCCTCCTCTAATAACCTCATTGCTGGCGTCGAGACACTCAATGTGGTCAAGAGCTGTTTGCTATCATCACTACTTTGACAAATCAGCTTGATTGCCTACTTTTTTCAAATGCCAAAACACAACCTCGCAAGCTGATGTAACCATCTCAGGTGAAGATCGTGGTCTCCAATAGCTCCTGCAACACAACGCGCCCCCCATCATTAACCCTAGCTGCCCCCCGCAGAATGTAGTGGTTCAGCGTGTCGGACATGACAATGCTTCCAGAAGAGCCTGAACCAGCCTAGTCTGCTGACCACCTCTCCATGTGAGCCCAAAACATCAGTACTGCGTGGCGCCCAGACGGAAACCGACAGAACGACGGGTTTTATGGTGGAGCTTGGAGTGATACTTCCAATTTGCCTGTGCCCCCCACGATGACTCCTATTCCTTGATGCCAGCCAAAATCTGGAATGAGTAGGGACTGATGTGCCCTCCATGATTCCCGTGTCGACATACACGAGACGACTAGGGCCACACGAAGCAAGACGCCATGATTCACCCGTGTCTAATTAGTGACTCGGTCCCAAAGTGACACCCATCCCTCAGGGGCATGGAGTCTTGAACTCTGATGGCGCAAGAGGTGTGAATTAACTCCACCTGCAAGCGCCATGTTTGGGACACCCCGTCTTGATATTGTTCGTTCTGTTGCAGCTTCATATTGTTGGTCTTAGCTACCATATCCCAGTCTCAGTCACCTTTGTCACCTAGCTAGACAAAGTCTTGATCATGGCCTTTGTCTTAAGCCCCCTGCACTGTTAGTATTGTTACACCTGACTTTAATGTCTTTTGCATACATTGTTTGTTTCAGGTGTTGCACTGCATGAATCTCCAAGAATAAGTGCCTGAGTGGCCAGACGGGGGCGACAATGTTGAGATTCACATGGGATTCCTTCGTCTCGAATATCTATCATGGTGGTCCTTTCTAAACAAACCTAATCTTCTTCCTCAATCTTCCATCCCGTTTCTTCCTTCGCGTTTCTCCGATCCAGAGCAAACAATTTCATCCCGGACTACATCCTCACCACGCGACTTGCTCCCACGTCGTACAGCATATCGCATACCTCTCCCCTCAGCTCAATCGTGGAAAATTGATCCATCATGGCAAACAAGACCTTGGATTTCGACCCGTTCGACCAGCCCTTGACCTTTCGCTACGCGGACGGCACCCCGTTTGTGGTCACGGTTGACGAAGTCGACACCAACCTGATCCAGTACAGCATCCGCATCTGCATCAACTATGCATCCCAGCTTGGTGCCACCATTGCCATTTTTGTCGTTCTGCTGCTGCTCACCAGACCTGAGAAGCGTGGCTCGGCCGTGTTTGTCCTGAATGCCGCCGCCTTGATCTGCAACATCGGTCGTACCGTCTGCCAGGTCACCTTCTTCTCCGGGCCTTTCGTGCGCCTCTACCCTTATTTCTCAGGAGATTACTCTAGAGTGCCGAGATCCGCATACGCTAACTCCATCCTGGGAACTGTCTTCCCTACTCTGCAGTTGATCTGCTTTGAAGCGTCCTTACTGCTCCAAGTCCAGGTCGTGTGCGCAAATCTCCGTCGTCGCTATCGCCGCGCCCTGGTGGTTGGGCTGAGCTTGATCGCCTTTATGGCCCTGGGTTTCCGCTTTACACTCATGGTCCTGAACTCGATGCTCATCATGGATGCCGCCGTTCCTAACAGTCTTAATTGGCTGGAAAGCGCGGCCAACATCACCCTGACAATCAGCATCTGCATCTTCTGTGCCGTGTTCGTCATCAAACTTGGCTTCGCCATCCATCTTCGCAAAAGGCTCGGCGTCAGGGACCTCGGACCTATGAAAGTCATTTTCATTATGGGATGTCAGACCTTAGTGATTCCAGGTACATTTTCCCTCCCCTCTCATCCACCCCAACGCCCCTATCTTACCCTACCGACCAACCCATAAACGTACCAAGAAGACTAACAGCATCCAGCCCTGCTCTCCATACTTCAATACGTCGTGACCGTGCCCGAGCTATCCTCTAACGTCCTGACCCTGGTCACGCTCTCCCTTCCTCTCTCGTCCATCTGGGCCAGCACGACCCTCTCGCAATCCAGCACCGGAGCATCCACCTCGCGCGCCAACCTCTGGAACGGACCGACTTTCAACGGCAAACAAGTGTCCTCGTCCACGTCGTCCAGCGGAAAACAAAGCACCACGATCTGCTACTCTGACCAGCCCAAAGCGCCGAGCTCCTTGCAGCAGGTCTTGAAAAGGGATGAGGACGAGGTGGATCAGGGATATGGCATTGCCATTGAGCATGATATCTCGGTCCGTAGCGTTCGGAAGGAGAAGAAGAGCGATGTCTAGACAGTCGTGACCATGGCCGTGTGCACGTACAACAAGGACGAAGGAAGGACAAAAAAGGGGGAACAGTTCAAGTCGAACGGTCGAATACTCAGACAAGCCCGGGGTTGATGCTGGTGGCGACGACGATGATGATGTTGAAGGCGTTCGTTTAGTTCTGTTCAGTCCTTCTTTTTTCTTTGCCTTTCATGCATCCTAGCCTTGTTTCTTTCTGAGGTATGCCTACCTTACCTAACCTATCTTGCACTTTTCATCGCATCTTCTCATCCATTTCCTCTTTCTGTCCCTTTTGCCCTTGTCGTGGCTCTTCCATTTCACTTAATCGTCTTGTGTTCCAACTTTCCTTTCTTCACTGTGCATCAATTTCTTTTGTTCGTCTTGCATTACGGTTGAGAGGCTTTACTGTCTTCTGGGATTAGTGATACAATAATAATCACCTGTTTATCTAACTCCTTGAGATTGACTGTATGCATGGAATAGTTATTGTGAATAATTTAATAGGAAGAATGGGTTTGCCTTTTGTGTGTGTCATTCAACTATACTCTATTTATGCCAGAGCCACGCTAGAGTCATCAGACTATAGATTCAGGCGGTACGTCCTTATGTAGAAATTCCAAAGAGATCATAATTCTATACTTTATACCGCTTTCAGATTGCAATTTATCATGGGTTTGCCCTTTACTGTTCTATTACATGTGCAAAATCATATTGTTTCCAGGAGATTAGACAGAGGGATCCTAGTCCATCCATACCTACCTAGCATTGCCTCTCGTATGGGAGATACGAACAGAGGGTTATAGATGAAAAGGGGAAGATAATTAGACAGATTACTGAAAGGAAGACACGTAAAGGGAGTTCGAGAATCGACTTCATTAATTATAAATCCACTCGACAAATTCTATTTTGCTTGATTCGTATGCGTAACCGTAACCACGCAGAAAGAAAAGTAAATAACCCCCTATCATTGCAAGAAAAAAGAGATAAAAAAAAAAAAAAAAAGAAAAGGGGCGAGTAGGACATGAAGAAGGGAAATGAAAAAAGACTACATACACCATTAGCTCTCCCGTCCCAGTTTCGCCAAAGACTCTTCCAGGAACTCGTTGGCGTTCATCAAGTCCGTACTGCCGTAGACGACTCTGCGTCTAGGGCCGCTAGTTGGACCGGCTCCCGGGCGGTTCCCGGCTACCGCGCCGTCGCTGCCCGGTTGTCCGCTGCCCTGAGCGACCCAGTCCTGCAGGTTACCGTATTCGTCCATGCTGCCGCCGCCGACGGTGAAGACGATGGCTTCGTTAAAGGCTTGACGACGTTGTCCGAAGCTGGCGCTGGTGCCGGGACCTGGGCCGCCTATGGGTCCGGACGAGGGGGCGTTGCGGGACGCGGAGGCAGGAGGCATGGCGCCACGGGCGTTGGCGCTGCGGGGGTCGAAGTAAAGGTAGTTCTCAGTCTTGGCGATCGCAGAACTAGAGGCGGCGGTAGGATCCATGATGGATTCAGTGATCTTGGTGAGGGTCAGGTCCTTGTTGGCGGGGAGGAAGTTCTTGACGCCGGAGATGAGCGAGTCAAAGTTGGCGCCCAAGGCACCGGAGGTGATGCGGTCGGTAAGTCGATTTGAGAGCGACGAGAAGCCACGGAAGATGTCTGACGATTGTTGTTGGGGGGCGGCCGTTGTCATCATCGTCATGCGAGTGATCTCTCGAACCTGTTTGACGTAGGCAAGGGAACTGACGTCCTTGACACCCGTGCGTGTGAGCGCTTCCTCGAATTGGCTCATGTCACCGCGGGACAGCTCGGTCTCGGTGCTGAGGAACCAGATGAGGAAAAGCCGGAGCTTGTCGGACGGCTCGTTGCCCTTGGTGGAGTCATTGATCAGTTCCAAGATCTGGGCCTTGGTCTGCTTGGTGATGTTCTCTTCCAGCTCGAAAAAGTTATCGAGTTGGCGGTCCTTGATGCCCTTGAGGAGCGCGGTGGCGATGTTCATGTGCATGTCCAGAATGGCCTTGCGCTCTCGCAGCTCCGGCAGAAGGGTGATGGCGGCCTTGAGGTGCTGCGCAGATGCGCTCGTGTCGTTCTGCAAATCCTCGATCGAAGAAGCGCCGGTCTTCTTGGTAATCTCGTTTGCATCTTCCTTATATCGCGTGAGCTCGGCATCGATGTCTTCCGCCACCTGAGGGAATGGAGCACCGGCGTTCCGTTTCCAGAAGAAGTCGTTGCTGTTGAGGTCATAGGCTTTCTTCGTGGCGCCTCGTGCTGGGTTCGACTCGTCCGCTGCGGTTTCGACCGTGATCCGGTTCAAATGCATCTGAAGAACATCTTGAACCAAGGACTGGTATGTCCATGAATGCGACAACATCGGGACTAAATCCACATTGCGGTCGACAATGATCAAAACGGGCCGAGACGAAGGGACGCCAGGTGCGGACTTCTTGTTGGAGAACAGATTATCCTTGGAATTCAGAATATGATCGCGTAGTTTCCGATCGAGTTTGGTTGCGATTAGTTCTGCAGCACCGCCTTTGGGACACCGTATGATTGGGATTGCGCCTGGGCATTGAGTCAGAAAATTGGAGCATTCGCGCATGAGCTGTGCAACATACCCATAGTGACGCTGACACTGAACAAACCACTGACTATCTTGTCCACAATGCTATCTAGGTCCTCATCGCTTGTTTGCGCGCTGTTGATCTTCCAATAGGCATCCTTGCCCAGACCGAGACTGAACAGGTCGGGCTCGGCGACGATGAAGTTCAAATATTGATCGAACACCTGTGAAATATGCTCCGACGCACCAGACGATACAATCTCCGAGGCGAAATCTTCTAGAAGGGGCCGAGGCACGGAGGATAAGAAATTCACGTAAGCGGGGGTGTACAGTCCGTGGGACAGATCTCTTGTAATCGCCTGGATATTGGCTGGAGTGGGTTCGAGGAGGTAGACAACAGGGACGTCGGGGATTGGGTATCGAGTGGAATGAATGTTGCTATGAAGAGATTCGTTAGTCGGCTGCTAGGGTCCTGGGTCGGAAGAAGTACATACAGATGGATCGTCACCCCCCACGATCTCAGATCATTGACACGAAGCACGCTGCTGATGACATCCCGGCCCATATTATCGAACACCAACACCTTCCAGATCGGATCTCCATCCTCGTTCAAGATCGGGGTCGAGTGGGAGATGAGACCCTGGGCGGCGGGATCATGGGAGCCGTCCTCCGCGGAACTCGTATCGTGATTCAGATTGAGGATCTTTTGGATGGAGGCTGGACAGTTGTCAGTACTGGCGACAGCTCAGCCATGGACTGGGAGAGGCATAGGGAACCTACCGACCTGACGGTCTCGCAGCGACATAGGATGCGATGCCATTGTTTGGTTAATTGAGCTTGCACCCCAGAACGGTATTCACGATGATTGTCCGCAGTGGACCAAATTCATGACATGTATCCAGGAGTGGATGCACCAGTGTTGTACTCAATGAATGAAAGTGAATTGAATTAAAGCGGCCGTTAAGGATTCATGCGAATCCAGGACCAGGGACATACGTAGGCTGCTGTCTCTAGCACGATCCACCAACTACACGCACTCTCCACCTGGCATCCTGAGGAGCTTCCCGTTTGATGAGGGCTGACATAATCCCGCCCGGGCGAGCATCACGTGTCCCCAGGCCGCCGGTAAAGGGACCGCAGGCGCCCAGCCGAGCTTTTTTTCCCAGTCTCACCACCTCCAACCACGCCCCTTCCCCCCATTCCCTTCCAACACCTCCTCGTAATGCGAATGACTATGCTGCTTAACTACAGCACAGTGCGGTTCCTTGTATGAGAACCCTATCCTTTCCTCTTTTTTAAATCAAGAAGGCAGATCTTAGGTGAAGAACAGGCAGAGACAGCTGCTCTGGCGAAAAGCGTGAACCTGGTGGATTTCTTAAGGCATCAAGAAGATTAGGAGGTACAATCGGAAGGACAAACAAACAGAGAAGTGCAGGCAAGAAGCAGTTTGAAGCCGAAACCGGGGTGCCCAGAGGAAGAGGCGACCGGATTGATCTTACGTCTACTATACGGAGTACCTGGTGTATTCGTGGAGTTTGGCCAACTTGTTGCATTCAAGCACGGTTCTTTTTTTTTTTTGCTTAAAAGAGGGTGCGAATTGGGCCCGACACAACGTGGACGTCTCTTCTCTTAAGAAGAAAAGCAAAAAACAAGAAAAAAGAAAATAACGGTGCCAATATTCCTCACGGCCTACCTACCTTTCTCTCCTAAGAAGCCTCTGCCCCCTCCTTTTGCATCCGATAGGAGAAGGGAAGGACCTCAGGTATCCAGGTATCCAGGCATCCAGGTGTCCGTCTCCTTTGCCACCGTCTGTCCTACCACTACACTCTACACTCCAACTGTCGGGAATCGCCTGACCTCCCACCTCAGCGGCGTCTTTCCCACGGCTGACAAACCACGCCGGCTCTGCTGTGGGAGCGATCGGAATCGACCAATCACGACTCCTCCCGGTGACCCCACCCCTGGAACATCTATCCCAAAAGGGACTCCGTTCGATCTTTACCTGTTTGGGCCACACTAGCACGTGGGTGCATGTGACTCCCCAGACGGGTTCAAAATACGTACTGCCCATACATTCTCCGTTGATTTCTCGTTCACTCCAGGGTGAACCTCGCGTCGGAGGGGCATTCACCACGCCAGGATGGAGCAGTCCACTCCGCAGAATATGTTGCGTGACTTGCCCCGTGCCCCCGTAAACTCTGGCTCGGCACCGGATTATTGGAACAACCTCGATGCCTTGTGTATTCCCACCTCCGATCAACATGCACATCCCGCACCGCAACGGCTCCAGCAGCCCCCGCCACAGCCACAACAACCACCACAACAGCAGCCCATGGGCATCAGCTGGGATCACCCGGTTTTCAGTCAACAACATCCGCAGCCTCAGCAAGAGCATGGCCATGGCATGTACCCTTCGGCTACACCCCAGTCGTGGCGTGCCAATTCACTGCATCATCAGCCGATCCTGCCATCGGGAAGTCCTCATGGATTTGGAGTTCCCGGACAATATAGTCAGCTGCATCAATATCCTCAGGGGCAGGTGTCCTTCGACTCGCGACCCTTGACTCCCTCAGATAATCCCGCATACCAGACGTTCCCATTCCCTCGTAATTATTATCCTCCGCAGCATCTGGCCGTTCCAGACACCTTTTCTCAATCACCCACGCCGCAGGCGACTCAAACGCCACCGCAACCAGTGCAGTATCAACCGGTTGCACATTCAAATGCGATCAATGGGTATCCTCTGTCTACAACCTTTTCTGACGAGAATGCGGTAAGATCCCCCCTCTTCCTTTTTCCACAGCTCGAACGAGTTCTGAACTAATACGTAATAGCATCCATTGGGACTCTCTCATGAATTTCCCGAACCCATCCCCAATGTGCCGGGCCATCAGACCATCAACCCTCAATTCCTAGACACTCCGCAGGCCACTAATCATCACCCATCTTTCTCCAACTATCTTTACGTAAACCCCAATGAATTCCAGGATTCTCAAGATCCAAAGTAAGTTTTCTGGCCCAATCGCAATTAGTTTGGAGGCGTTTCTGACCTTTACTCTCTCAGGGTCTTTGATTTCTATCGGAATGATATTCAACTGCAGGCGGGGCCGCCCGCTGTTGGCAGCCAAGGCGTCCCGGTACGCCCTCAGGGTATGGAAGCTTTCTTGCCAGCAAACGGTATGTTCGAGATTTCGCCCTCAATGTTCCTCCTTTAGCTTGACGTTAATCTATGGTATAGGACAAAAACCCGTGGCAGTCCCATTGCCAATAACAGCGGCCGATGCACGGAAACAGATACCGATTACCAAGATTCTACCAAAGAATGCTACCGGTAAAGTGAGTAGTAAGAGGGTTGATGGGAAAATGGCGGGATCTTCCGGCTCTGAAAGCGACTCCGATGACTCGGACCTCGAGATTGAGCATGAGCCCCCGGAGAAATCTCCCATTCCCCCCTCCCGTCCTACTGAGCCTGAAGCAGCTGCCAATTATGATACATTACGAGCTGTGTGGTTCCCCCGTAATAGACGACCTAACGCCGACAAAGTCAAGAGTGCTCTAGTTGCATTCAAAGATGTCGTCAAAAAAGTAAGGGATGCTTGGAAAGACAAGACGCAAGCCATGAAGATGGCAGAGAATAAGGGCGACAACGACAAAGCAGCCAAGTTCAAGAAGGAAACTGCCTCCCAGAGACGCATAATGAACGTGGTTGTCAAGACCACCCTGGACAGAGCCCACCCTATGATCATTGAGAAGTATGTCTTTTTTCTCTCTCCACCCCCGTCCTTTTCCTACTCCCCTACGAACCTGGCATATCGTTGTCATGGCCATAGAAGTCAGAAACGAATTGAAAGCCTCTCCCATGTAATTTCCATTAAAGGAATGCTTATAAGTAAGGGTGGCTTTTATGCTGTGCACCCAAGGACAATACATGTCCCGCTGTGTCCCTTAAAGAAAAGAAGAAGAAAAAAGAAACACGAACAAGTCAAGAATCGCGCGAAAGCCTCGGTATTCTGCGGAGATGCTAGTTTGGCCACATAATTAAACGTTTAGTGGGCTCACTAAGTCTCCAGCTGATAACGACTGGCCGCCGAGAGTTCTTGTATTACGACGACCCGTGTTCCAAATTTGCCCTCAATTTCGCGTTGTGTGTTTGAATTCTTATTAGCTTCGCAATGCTGACACAATTATCATAGGCTGGGAGAACATCCAATCGCAGTGTCTGCTATGTATTCGTTTCTTTTGGATCGTCATCAGGCTTCTGACATCGACGGGGTCCTTACTGTGAACCTTCTTGAGGTGAGTCGATATCATTATGCATATCCATTGATCAGACAACTAACATTTACACAGTTGCTTTCGCGTTTCACGACTATGGATGATGAGGCCCTCCAAAAGACAAACGTTGCTAAACTTTTGCCCAGATTTGTCAAGAAAGGTGGCGTAAAGGTTAGAGGTCTGGCACAAAAGATATTGGACAACGCTGCCGCATCTACCAAACGGAAGCAAGAAACTGCGAAGCCGGGGTCAAAGGAAGGGTCGCCTAACAGAAATGGCACGTCTACTGATACGGCACCTACCGAGGCTCCTGGCGCAAAAAGAGCGAGGGAGAACGACAACAGCAATGGGCTGCCTGCCACCAAGAAAATGGTGGTTACGTCCAATATCAAGAATCCCTCCAAGCCCAGTAACCCCGTGGTCGCCAACGGCCCTGCCAAGAAACCCCAAGAAGGAGCCGCGGTAATTGCTGCCCGTCCGAAAGCCAACATTATTGCACCCAAACCTACCAACCTGTTTGGAAGTTTGAGCTCAGCCTCGAAGAGACCCGGTACTTCTAATGCCGAGAGAGCGGCCGCGGCCGCGGCCACCCCGAGGCCCAGGTAAGAAGTCTTCCCATGTCATGTCAAACACAATGTCTAACTCCATGAAGCGCCCTTTCTGAAAAGAAAGAGTCTCAACCGGCTGCTCCAAAGCCGGCATTATCTTTCGGTGACATAATGGCAGACCTTAATAAACAGAAGGACCCTGCTCCCGCCCAACCTGCTGAGGACAAAACGCCCGAGACCGAAGAAGAGCGGAAGAAGAGACTTCGGAAGGAGGCCCGACGAAGGCTACGGGTTACCTGGAAACCGGATAGCCAGCTTGTCCAAGTTCGCACGTTCACGCATGACCCTGATGAGGAGCTTCATCTCGGTGATCATGAAGTGGGTGATGTGAAGGGTGAAGGGAGCGTACTCAAACTCCATAGAGACATGGATGATATGGACGAGGATGATGATGGCGGTCTCCGCGAGGAGTCTCTGCTTGATTATTATGAACCGACCGGTACGTTACTTCTTACTCTTGGCCTCATATCAATTTTACTGATTTGTCTAGCAATCGATGACGAAAACATCACGTCTCCAGACCGTTCTGGGAACTTTGTGAAACGCGGAGGCAACAAACAGCCTACCAGCTCCGAAAAAGAGGCTCAGGATCATAGGGAAGCCACCACCCTCATGGTGTTTTACACTTCTCCGGCGGAAGTCCCGCCCTCACCGAAGGAGCCACCTGCACCGACCGACGAGGAAATCGTCACGGATGTGGTTGATTTCGGGGAACTCCCAGACAAGGTCAAGGTATGTCTTTTCATATTCGGGGTTCTTTTTAATTTACGTTACAATCATCTGACTTGGCCTTTTCTACAGGCCCGACAAGAGCGGTATTACTCAATGGTCAACCCTAAACCTGCGCCTCTGGCCCAGCCGAGCACGCAGAACAGCAACAGCAACAGCAACAACCAATTTGACATCTCGAACTTGTTGAAGATCATCCAGAATGCACCTCTACAACAGCAGTCGACTCCGCCACCGCCACCTCCTCAGCCCGCACCACAGGCGCCGATGTCTGATCTGGAGCGAACAATCAGCATGTTCCGTCAACAGCAGGTTGCCCAACCCGCCCAAGCGCCAGTGTTGCAGGTGCCCCAGTTTCCTCCGGTTTCTCAACCGCCCGCAACACAAGGTCTTGATTTCCAAAAATTATTGTCCGTCATCAATGGACAGAAACAGATGCCCCAGCCCCCACCGCAGCCTCAGCCTCAGAAATCGCAACCTAATGTCGCGCCAAACCTTGCCGCCATCATTTCTCAGATTGCCAACCCCAATCAGCAAGCGACCCCCAACTTTGCTCAACAGCAAGGTAATTACGAGGATCCCGATCGCAAGCGTATGCGCGAAGGCAATGGATACGATGGACACGATGACGATCGCTATGGTCACCCCAAAAGAGGCAGACCAAATGGCCCAGGCAAAAAACACGTAAGTTTGCAGTGGAACATTTATTCAGTGATCTCGTTACTGACTATGCAATAGCCTAAAGCAGGTTTGGTTCCTTGCCGATACTGGCCTGAAGGGAAATGCATCAAGGGAGATGACTGCACCTTCCGCCATGACCCTCTCAACTAATATACTATTCTCCTTCTCAATCCCCCATTTCTGATACCCCATGTGACTTTTTTTTTTTTTTCCCTTTTCACTCTCATAGTTTCCCCTATGAATTCATGTATAACCATAATCTTGCATATGAGAGGCCCTCTACTCGACATCACTCCATGATAATGCGTTCGACTGGCGGATATTCCGGCGTTTGTTGTGCTCACGAGATTTACATTCATCCACTCGGCATTGTTCATCTAGCGTTGTGCCTGACTTGAAAGCATCTTGTGCATGGGTCAACACTGAGGAGTTTCGTGATTTTTGCAAAGCTGTCATGTCTCTTTTATTCTCTTTGTTTCCTGTCTTTCTCTCTCTCCTTGCTTTTCCTCTCATGATGGAATTACGCGTGGCTGGGTCGGACGCTCAGCCAAGGCACATTGACATCGCCACAAGGCAAGCCAAATATGTACATTACATTAGAATGGCATCCAGCGATGGACGATTGTCTCTTTTACCTTGATATGCATGTAATACGCAGCCTTTATTCTCAGAATCAGAATGTGTTTTGAGGAATTATATTTTCCATGTAGATTTGCCGATGTGCTGTAGATTCTGATACAGGCCTTGCAACAATAAGACTCGTTGTTCACAACACCCTGGATTTTACAAGTAAAAATCGAACCTCACTGAATCTCGACGTTGCCTCCTGCAAAGATGAAGCAGTGTTCTGACCACACAACATATAGAGTATATCCTTGGCGGGGATCAACTAGGGTTAGAAAATGGTGGGCCGCTCACTTCCAATTGATGCCCGAGGCATCATGAATCCTCCCGCTCTCACTGATACACTATTACAGTACTCCGTCGCAGCATCTACTTCTGAACCACCTCAGGAGACCACAGACATTTTACAAGTTTATTTATTTTTTCCTTTTCCAGACAGCGATTGTATCTATAAGATATAGATCCTGAAGCCGTGAGATCCCACAAAACCATGCCCCCCTCCACCTTCGACGTGCAGAAATGCACCCACCTGATCATCGTCTGCTGTCATGCAATCTACCTCGGGGGATCAACAAAGGGCATCTCAGAGGATGAATGGTAAGAAGCATAAAAAAAATAAGACATAATCCCACCTCTCCACCCCTACAATCAAAATAAACCCCAGATATCATTGCATGATGATTGCTGCAATTCATCCTTAGCTGACGCAAACATATACACCGAGACAGGCTAATTGAGCCCTTCCAAAAGGGCGAAACGCCCACTTTCACGTCCCACGTCAAAGCAGGTCTTCGAGCTGCGGCGGAGGATCCGGAAAGTCTGCTTGTATTTTCGGGGTATGTGTGTGTGTGTGGATATACTACCTGTATCCCGGCTCTATTCTTTATAACGTGGCATGGAATGGCTACTTAAGACTGATTGATCTATGTAACAGAGGCGCAACAAAAAGAGCCTTGACGGATCTCGCCGAGGGTGATTCATATCGTGTAAGACCTCCCCTTTACATTACCTAAATCACACCGATATCTAGATAAAAACGGACCCAAAGAAATACATACTCACCGTGACCACGCAGAACCTCGCCAAAGATAACGCCTACTTCACATATTCCGACAGGATCAACGCCTTACAAATAACAACCGAAACACACGCCACAGATTCATACCAGAATGTGCTTTTCTCACTGCTGAAGTTTCGAGTACATACCGGCAACTATCCGACGCGGGTTACTGTCGTGACGCACGAATTCAAGCGGAAGAGGTTCATAGAGTACCATTTTCCTGCTATCGGACTTGCTCCGGTCGCCTCGGCTTCTTCCACTTCCACTTCCACTGGTGCAGATGGGCGTGAGTCTAGATGCCAATGCAAAGGGAATGTAGTTGGGATTAATCCGCCGGAGGAAGTGACGTCGGAGGCGTCGTTGATTGCAGGAGAAGAGAAGAGGGGGATTGGGCTTTGGAAGGAAGATCGGTATGGAGTTCAGGTGGAGCTGGCAGGGAAGAGAGCGAAGAGGGGGTGGAATCCGGGGATGGAGATGGGTGTTTTTGGAGACTTGGGGCTGGAGCCGGTGGTGGAGGAGTTGGTATGTTGGGATGGGGGAGAGGGTGGGAATGAGTGGTTTTCGAAGATGGACCATTTACCGTGGTATAAATAGTGACGAAAAGAGAGTGAAGAGAGGAATAAAGTAATGCATACTCATTAGTCGTTATGGTAGATAACTTCTTGGCTTTTGCGGCCGTATGGTCTTGAAATTCATGGTACAGAAACCCCCGAAATGAAAGCAAATGGAAGAACCCTCCGTGTTATCCCTAACGCCTCCGTATAGAACACCTCCTAGTCCACTGTAGAATGCCGAGTTTAATCGGCAAGGCGGTAGCTGACGAGAGTCTCCACTCTGTGGTTATTTGTGCTGAAGCTTCTGAGCTGCACCTTCTCGGCGTTTTTGATCTCCTTGGCGTCGCTGTCGCCCCATTCGACCGGCACCTCCGAGTCTGCGTCCGCATACACGAGTACATTGAATGTGCAGTCTCCATCGAGGACGGGGAGGAAGGTAACAGAGGCAGTGATCTGCCGAAAAATGGCTTGGACCTCGTCCTGGATCTCTTTTTCGGTTTTCTCAACCGTTTCGGTAGCAGGGGCGGGAGCATCTCTGTAGACAAGAACAGTTAGTTTGCGTTCCTAAAAGTTGCATAGAGAATATTTATTACCCTGCAGCAGCGTTTTCCTTATCACCAGCTTTTCGGGCTGCCAAGCTCTTGCTGTGCTTGGTGTGTATTTGAACCTGGATCCCAATCAGTCTATGCAAGCAGGTTCTCGGGTCGGGTGACATACGTCAAACTGCCATCTCTCCACATGTTCACCAGTCTCCTTGTCGGTGATTACCACGACGAGCTTCGAGATTTTGCCTCCCATCATCCACTTGTTCAACTGCGACATGATCTTCTTGATGTAGGCTTTGACTTGGTCATCGGAGGTGACTGAATTGATCGGTAAGCGAGAGGGCATGTGGGAGGGAGCGAGATTGACCAACCGAGCATGTTGAGGCCATACTTCTTTACTCTGGATAGATGTCAGTCGCAACTTTTTCTCAAGAGGTCGAGAGAAAGAAAACTTACGTTGTGAAGTCTTCTGGGGGGTAGACTCCGCGTTGGAACCTAAGGGCGGGATTGATGAGTATCTTTGAATCGCAACTGACATAGACGTCCGCTTACAGAATGGAGTTGATGGAGTATTCAAACTAGTGTAATCAGCATAGTCCATGAATCCCTGACTTGGAAGGATTACTCACGAATTCAGCCACAAGCTTCGCCGACCCTGCGGGGGACGTTAGTTTCGCACTGACGAACGCTAAGACCCGTATGCCTTACCTTTCAGCGACAACTTGTGGACCTTGGACTTATCTTTTGTCGAGGACATGATGGGATGAGCTGGAGATCACTGAAATCGGTGGTGTTGAGAGTCAGGACAGATGGTTGTGTGGAGGGAAAAACGAGCGTCGCTTTGTTTACTCCGATAGTCGCCGCAGCAATCGACCGCCCGCCCAATCGTTTTCTCCGCAGAGCCGCACTTTTTTTTTGCCCGCCAAATCGGACTCCATCCAGCTGTCATCGACAAGCGCGAGAGGACCACCCTGACCTACACTCTCCTCCTTCTCATGCCATTGCAGCACTCCAGATGCGAGGATGCCTGCAATTAGCCAGATGGCTGAGCGCGGTGCAGAAATGCCCAGCTGCAAGCCCTCTCAAGGCGCCATCCGCCCGTTTTAACTACCTTCGTTCCTTTACCAGCGCCGCCGTTTACCAATCGGCACGTTCAAGAGCGGCCGCTGCCAAACCCGTTTCCGACCTTGAACAGAGAATCGCCGCCATCCCGATCGACCGATACCGCAATTTCTGTATCGTTGCTCACGTCGACCATGGCAAGAGCACGTTGTCCGACCGAATGCTGGAACTGACGGGGACCATCCAGCCGGGAACTAACAAGCAAGTGTTGGATAAGTTGGACGTCGAGCGGGAACGTGGAATCACCGTCAAGGCGCAGACATGCACCATGATCTACAATCACAACGGGGAGGACTACTTGTTGCATCTTGTCGATACGCCGGGCCACGTCGACTTCCGCGCGGAGGTCTCACGGAGTTACGCCAGTTGCGGAGGCGCATTGCTGCTGGTCGATGCGAGCCAGGGTATCCAGGCGCAGACCGTGGCAAACTTCTATCTGGCTTTCGCGCAGGGATTGGAATTGATTCCTGTCATCAACAAGGTGGATCTGCCGTCCGCCGATCCCGAGCGGGCCCTCGAACAGATGAGAACATCCTTCGAAATCGACACCGAAAACGCCGTGGGAGTTTCGGCCAAAACCGGTCTGAATGTGGCAAAGCTGCTACCGACTGTGGTCGAGAAGATTCCAGCGTAGGTTTCTTCTGCATTTGGACTGACTGTAACGCTAGTACTGACAAGACCTAGGCCGATTGGCGATTCCAAAAAACCCCTCCGAATGCTCCTGGTCGACTCCTGGTACGATACTTACAAGGGCGTTATCTGCCTGGTCCGTGTGTTCGATGGCGAGATTCGAGCCGGGGATCAGCTTGTGTCCTTTGCGACTGGGATTAAATATTTCGTGGGCGAGGTGGGAATCATGTATCCGCTTGAGACTTCGCAGACTGTCATTCGTGCTGGCCAGGTGGGATATATCTTCTTCAACCCCGGCATGAAACGCAGCAAAGAAGCCAAGATCGGCGACACATACACCAAGATTGGGTCCGAAAAGGCCGTGGAACCGCTTCCCGGTTTCGAGGAACCGAAGGCAATGGTTTTCGTGGCTGCGTATCCCATGGATGCGGATCATTTCGAGCATCTGGAGGACAGCATTAACCAGCTGATGCTGAATGACAGGAGTATTACGGTGCAAAAGGAGTCTTCCGAGGCCCTTGGTGCGGGCTTCCGACTGGGGTTCCTAGGAACCCTACATTGCTCGGTGTTTGAGGACCGCCTTCGTCAGGAACATGGCGCTAGCATCATCATCACCCCACCTTCCGTACCCGTGAAGGTGCTCTGGAAGGACGGCAGGGAAGAGATCATTACTAGCCCGGCTCGTTTCCCCGATGAGGATGACGTGCGCACGAAAATCGCGGAACTACAAGAGCCATACGTCCTAGCTACTTTGACCTTCCCAGACGAATATCTGGGGAAGGTGATCGAACTCTGCGAATCCAACCGAGGCGTGCAGAAGAGCATTGAATATTTCACGGCGACCCAGGTAATTCTCAAGTACGACATACCGTTGGCGCAACTGGTCGATGACTTCTTTGGCAAGCTGAAGGGAGGTACCAAGGGATATGCCTCACTGGACTACGAGGAGTCTGCTTGGCAACCCAGCAACATTGTTAAGCTCCAGCTCCTGGTCAACAAGGCCCCAGTGGATGCGGTTGCACGTATCGTCCACTACAGTCAGATTGAACGACTTGGAAGACAGTGGGTGACCAAGTTCAAGCAGCACGTCGACCGGCAGCTGTTCGAGGTCATCATTCAAGCTGCCGTTGGGCGCAAGGTTGTGGCGCGTGAGACGGTCAAGCCGTACCGCAAGGACGTTCTTGCCAAGCTCCATGCAAGTGATGTCAGTCGACGGAGGAAATTGCTGGAGAAACAGAAAGAGGGACGCAAGAAGCTCCGCGCGGTCGGAAACGTGGTGATTGAACATAAAGCATTCCAGGCTTTCCTGGCCAAGTAGAGGCAGGAGGGCCAGTTGTATAGTGTGTATTATATTCTAGCGGGGAACTATTACCATGGTGTATAATTAGTCTTGAGATTATACTAAAATTTATTGGAACAGACATGAATGTCACTGAGCTCTATGTATAGATCGCATTCAACCTCAGGCTGTCCAGGCTGCCCCATGCGGACTGAATGCATGGTTTGTCTTGTCTCTGCATGCTGATTGAATGGGACGGCGGAGGGGGCGGGAGCAGCAGCTGACTATTCCTGTTCGGGTAGTTAGGCAGGTCGCTCCGTCGCCTTTGCCCGCAAAAAAGTTCGTCGCCGACCCCGCCGTTCGCCCTCTCCTTCTTCCACAAAAGTCCTGCGGTCGCCGTCCCTCTGCATCTCCAAGTCTCCTTTTTTGCCTGGTCGCGTGTATCGGAACCGCGACAAGAGACCCAATCTGCTCATCTAGTCTATTTGTCCCTGCCATGGTCAAGCTTTGACGGCGGCGATGCAACCTCCGGAAGGTGTGCAGGTCGACCTGGGCAAGGCCCAGGTCATCGATCGTGTTCCGAAAGTTATCAAAGAGCTCAAATTCGGTGTGCTGTAAGCTCTGGCCTCTTTGCTTTTCTGAAGATTTTCTGTCTGTGCGTGTTTGTGAGCGTGGGTGGCGGGCTAACTGCGGATGTGTCATACCCAGATCCAACGATGACATTGTCAGCCAAGGTGTGGTGGAAGTCTCGGACCGGAAGTTTTTCGACCTCGACCAAGACCGATCGGTAATTCCGCATGGACCCCTCGACTCACGTATGGGTATTTCCAGCAAGAGTGCAACATGTCAGACTTGCGGTGGTGCGCTCCAGGTCTGCAACGGACATTTCGGCCATGTGAAGCTTGTCTTGCCGTCCTTCCACGTCGGATATTTCAAGCGGGTGATTACGATTCTACAGGAGATTTGTAAGGAATGTTCACATATCTTGCTGCCCGAAGGCGAGCGCCGTACCTACCTCCGAGAAATGCGTCGGCCGAATCTGGATAATCTGCGGCGATTGCAGATCGCGAAACGGGTGAACGAGCGCTGTCGCAAGACCCGAACCTGCGACTCCTGCGGCGCCATCAACGGCGTCGTGAAAAAGGCGGGAAACAGCGCGCTGAAAATTTCGCACGACAAATTCCGAGCCTTCAATGCCTCGGCATCGGTGAAGAAAATCCCACCTCCCAGCAAGATCGTGTTTGATCGGTCGTTCGAGGAAGCTAGGGGCCATAATGCTGAGGTTGAGAAACACTACAAGAAGGCCCAGGATGACCTGAATGCGCTCCGAGTTTTGAACTTGTTCAAGAAAATCTCGGACTCAGACTGTGAACTGTTAGGATTGAACCCGAAGGAGGCAAGACCCGAAATGTTCCTGTGGCAGTATATTCCTGCTCCTCCGGTGTGCATTCGTCCTTCCGTCGGTCAAGACGCCGCATCCACGGAAGACGATTTGACTGCCAAATTGGGCGACATTATTCAGAGCAACATCAATCTGAAAAACTCGTTGTTGAAGGGTGCACCGGTGCAAACAATCATGGAATGCTGGGATTACATGCAACTGCAGATCGCCGTTTACATCAACAGCGATGTTCCCGGCCTGAACAAGGCGGACTTGGGCAAACCAATCCGAGGTTTTGTGCAGCGACTCAAAGGAAAGCAGGGACGATTCCGTGGTAACCTGTCTGGAAAGCGTGTCGACTTTTCAGGTCGAACGGTCATTTCGCCCGATCCTAACCTCCGAGTGGACGAAGTCGCCGTCCCTATCCTCGTGGCAAAGAACATGACCTATCCTGAGGTTGTGACGCGGTACAACAAGGAAAAACTGCAGAAGGTGGTTCGGAATGGTACTAAGAAATGGCCCGGAGCAAACTACATCACGAAGAAGGGGTCGACTTTCAAGCTTTTCCTGAAGTATGGTAATCTCAATATGATCGCCGATCAACTGCAGGAAGGGGACGTTATTGAACGTCACCTTGAGGATGGTGATATCGTCCTCTTCAACCGTCAGCCCTCTCTCCACAAATTGAGTATTCTGTCTCATTTTGCGAAAATCCGCCCGCATCGTACCTTCCGACTCAACGAGTGTGCCTGTAACCCGTACAACGCTGATTTCGATGGTGACGAAATGAACTTACACGTTCCGCAGACGGAAGAAGCTCGAGCCGAGGCCATGGAACTGATGGGAGTAAAGAATAACTTGGCAACCCCGAAGAACGGAGAACCGATTATTTCCGCCATTCAAGATTTCATCAGTGCGGCTTATATTATGAGTAGCAAGGATAACTTCTTTGACCGGCGCTCCTTCACGCAGCTGTGTCTTTACATGCTTGGACCTGAAACTCGCTTTGATCTTCCTCCTCCAACTGTGCTGAAGCCACAGATGCTTTGGACTGGAAAGCAGGTGTTTAACATTCTTATGCACCCGAACAAGGATGACCCCGTTCTGGTCAACCTGGACGCAGCATGCAAGACGTTCAAGGCCCCCAAGGATGGCAGTCCTCGGGACTTGGACCTAAACGACAGCTGGCTCATCGTTCGTAACTCAGAAGTCATGTGCGGTGTGATGGACAAGTCGACAGTTGGATCCGGAAAGAAGGACAACATCTTTTATGTCATGCTTCGAGATTTCGGACCTGCAGCAGCAGCTGAAGGTATGAACCGACTGTCAAGATTATCTGCACGCTGGTTCACCAACATGGGTTTCTCCATTGGTATCACGGATGTTTACCCCAGTGAAAGGCTTGTGCAATCTAAACAGGACCTGGTCGAAACTGCCTACGCGCAGTGTGACGAAGTCATCGCCAAATACAAGGCAGGCACTCTGGAGAAGTATCCAGGTTGTGACGAATTGCAGACCATGGAAAACCAGCTTTCGGGTATTCTCAGTAAGGTCCGTCAGCAGGCAGGAGACGAATGTATTGCGCAACTCAGCAAGTACAATTCTCCACTGATCATGGCCACGTCCGGATCCAAGGGTTCTAGTATCAACGTGTCACAGATGGTTGCTCTGGTCGGTCAGCAAATTATTGGTGGTCAGCGTGTGCAGGACGGTTTCCAGGACCGGACCCTACCCCATTTCCCGAAGAATGCCCGTCAGCCCCCATCGAAGGGTTTCGTTCGTAACAGTTTCTTCTCGGGACTAGAACCGACGGAGTTTATTTTCCACGCTATGTCCGGTCGTGAAGGTCTTGTCGATACCGCTGTCAAGACCGCCGAAACCGGTTACATGTCTCGACGGTTGATGAAGTCGTTGGAAGATCTCTCTACCATGTACGATGACACTGTCCGGAATTCCTCCGCGGCTATCGTCCAGTTCCAGTACGGAGATGACAAACTCGATCCGGTGGATATGGAAGGTAAAGCCAAGCCTGTCCATTTCGACCGGACTTTCACCCACTCTGAATCTACGACATACGACAATGATGAGCGCAGTCTCTTGCCTGCCGAGATCATGGAGGTTTGTGAAGACATGCTGTCTAAGGAGCGTGCTAAACTGGTCCGAAAAGACCTTATGGGTACTGAACTCGGCTACATGGATCGGTCAGACCATGGTATTGATCAGTTTGAGAGTGCCCGTGACTTCCTCGACTCCATCCAGCAATATGTTTCCACAAAGGCCGACCGGCTTATCTCTCGCGGTGGTGACTTTGATCCTAATGATGATCGGAGTCAGAAGGGTCTCAACCACACTGGAAAGTTGACCGAGACGACTCTCCGTGCGTTCATCTCTGCGTGTTTGATGAAGTACAAGAAGGCCCAGGTTGAGTCTGGTCATGCCGTTGGTGCAGTGGGTGCTCAGTCCATTGGTGAACCCGGAACTCAGATGACCCTGAAGACTTTCCATTTTGCTGGTGTCGCCGGTATGAGTATCACACAGGGTGTTCCCCGAATTAAGGAAATTATCAACGCGTCCAAGGAGATCAGTACGCCTGTCGTTGCTTGCGAACTTGTCACCAAGGATAATATCATTGCGGCTCGGATTGTCAAGGGCCGTATCGAGAAGACCTATCTTCGGGATATCATTCACTATGTCCGAGAGACATGGACTGGAAAGGAGGCCTACATTACTGTCAAGATCAACTGGAAGACCATTCAGGACCTGGCACTTGAGTTGAACATCAGAACTATTCTCGCTGCCATCAAGAATCATCGGCGCTTTAAGGCCGACGATCTTAAATTCCGGTGCTCGCGGTCGCATATCCACATCCACATGGACCTGGACCCTGCCAGCAAAGCAGGCCTCTCTAAGACAGAGATTGCATCTACCAGCGCAGATCCGTTCCTTCGTCTCAAGCATCTCAAGCGCATGCTTCCCGAGATCCAAGTCCTCGGCCACCCCTTGGCCTTCCGTGCAATCATCCGGACCGACGAAACCTCCACTAAGAACACCCTCCTCGTGGAAGGTTACGGTTTGAAGGAATGTATGACGACTCTCGGTGTTGATGGCCTCCGCACATCCACCAACAACGTCATGGAAATGCGCAACGTGCTCGGTATCGAAGCCGCCCGCTCCACCATCACGCAAGAAATCAGCGAGGTCATGAAAGACATGGACATCGATCCTCGTCACATGCAGCTCCTCGCCGATGTAATGACCTACAAGGGCGAAGTCCTGGGTATCACGCGATTCGGTCTTGCCAAGATGCGCGACTCCGTCCTCCAGCTCGCCTCGTTCGAAAAGACCGCCGACCATCTCTTCGACGCCGGTGGTGCCGGCCGCACGGATCTCATCGAGGGTGTCTCCGAATGTATCATCATGGGCAAGACCATGTCCATCGGTACCGGAGCCATGGAAGTCGTCCGCAAGATGAACTTCTTCGAGGGCCAAATCGGCGCCAAGAAGACCACCTTCGAGGATGCCTGGACCAGCACCGAGGCTTCCCTCGAGACGACCAGGAAGAGAAAAGGCCGTGCTTGAACATAACATGACATGACAATACCAATACCAATAGAACCTTGGAAAACAAAAACATCCTTGATCTATAATCTTGGTGGCTCTTTGTTCTGATCCTATCTACCCACACAGTTTGCAAAAAAGTTCGCATCACCTGGCGTTGGAAATTTGATTGGGCTTGTTTGAACCAGTATTGCTTTTGTACTACTTTTCTTTTTGTCCCCCCGTGAACTAACTGCTTTTTGCGCGCATTAGCGATACTGAAGGTAGTGTGGATGGTGATGGTTATATGACAGATCATCCTTGTACTATTGATTATGTGTTAGTTTTAACAATGAATTCGACGATGATAGATGTTCATTATTATACTGTGTAGATACCCCTCCCTCCCCAACTCTTCCAACTCCGTTTGTGTACTTCAAGCATTATCTTCACCAACAGGAGGTTTCTGTTCATCTGTACTCCCGCGTCGGAATTTAGACAAAGCCTCCCACATTCTCTTCACTTTTTCCAGCACGTCCTCGTAAGATCTCTCAAGTTGTTGAAATCTGACTGAATCGGCCCTGTCCAAGGACGGTATATGGTAGTGATAACCGTTCGAAGACTCAAACATAGAGATCAAGGCCTGCCTTGTAGCCGATTTCCATAGTCGTTTGATATCCTCCAGATGGAAGGCGATGTATGCGAGGGGAGTAGTGATGGCAATAGTGATGCAGACTATATAGTAAGGCCAATTAATCGAATTTACCAGACAGTATCTCTATAGGAGTTTCTGGAAAAGCGAAAAAGGAAACAACACAAGTCAGGAAGCAGGACTTACAAAGCATTGGGAAGATCCAGTTCGGTTGGTAAGCTAACTCTCCTTTGCTGTCGTGTTGGAAGGAAGTGACGTTCAATGCGAAGAGAGAGGATAAGAAGGACATAGGGGTCTGTGGGGGTAGAGTTGAATTAGAATGAATGAATGGTGGACAGATAGGTGGCAAGCCTTACAAAGACGATAGTTATAACCGTGAAGACCATGAGGGTTCTTCCCTGTTTAACGGATTCGAAGGCCTCTCTGAGACTGGTGCCGTTTTGCTCTAGATTGAGAATTTCGTTTACCTATAAGCAATAAGGAAGATTAGCCTGTATGCAGTATATGCAGTGTGTAGTAGATAAAACTTACGGAGCTCTTGATGGTATCCGTGATCTCAATCATCTCGTTGACTTCAGTAAGCATGTAATGCGGCCTTCTTTCAGATTTCGGATGGAGTGGACTTTTCTGGATATCAGCAAGAACGTGATCCTGCTGGGTTAGTATCGCTTTCAAGATCGTGAGCTCATCGCGGATATCTTTGACCTCATCTAGGAGGTCAGCGGCCTTGCTGATGGACGACCAGTTTTCATTTTCGTCGGTTTCACCGTGCAATAGCATTTTTGAAGGTGCGTCATGCAGCTTGTTTCCTTCCTCTGATGGCTTCTCTGCTCCAAGCTGTCCGTTTTCTGGTTTGCTGTCACCCTGTTTGGTTTGTGTTTTCTTGGCCTTGGGTGCTTTTCTCTTCTCATCTCTCTTTCTCGCCCTGTCCATTTTCCTTTTGAAGGAGGCGAACAGGTTTTTTTCTTCAACGGCCTGTTTCCATTAGCCTCGGGTATCAAGGGATCACTCTTAGAACGAACCTTGCTATTGACTGTTTCAGAGAAGATCTCGCGTACGGACTTGACAGATTTCTGGTTGCTTTCAGGACTGGCAAGATCATCTGGACCAGAGCCCTGCCAAGTGACGGTATTGATGAAGTCGATGCAAAAGCTAACAATGAACTTGCTCATCTCATCAACAGAGGATGGCAAAGGTCGTCCCTTCTTTCTTGACTTGGCTTCCCTTAGGTGATTGAAAATGCCTTCGATCACAGGATCTTCACGACCATCCGGTCTGCAAGTAGAGGAGGTAATGATAGTCTCTTTGTGGTGACTTGAGTTAGTAAAATGCCACTAAATGAATGACGATGTCTTTGAAGCTTACCATCATCTATGACCCAAAGCCAGAGCTGGTCAACGCCGAGGATTGGCCACCAGTGTCTGCTTTTCTCCACCCCGTCACCATTCTTGCCTCCGATCAAATAACGGGTCACAACCTGGTTTTCGTCGCGGCCTTTGATATCATTTCCATTCAAAGAATGATAATAGAATTGATCCAGAGACCTCGTTCTATGACCAGATCCAGTTCTAGCTTGTTGTTCAGAATCATCCGTGGTCTCGCCAACCCTGTGTCAACCGTACTCAGCTCCATACAATTCCCGGGCTACCTTTTTGAACTCACTGGCTATCGCTCCGATCACGTTTAAGGAATACCAAGTATGGCATCTGAACAGTTAGTAGGCATTCGCGTGTCCTCTGGTCGAATCAAGCTTACATATAGAGCAGTCCTTTGATACGTAACTAGTCACTCAGCATCAGCATTGTCAAATTATACAATCAAGGTGATGCAAACCGGTTTGAAATTCAATCTGTTCGGGCTCAGTTATAACTTCCTTGGCTTTCTCTTGTTGCTTAGCTCCCTCTGGTCCTGCCGTGTCCTCCTCTCCTTCACCATGAGGAGGATTCGGCAATGTTTGAGTGGTTTTGTCCTGCATGGAGCGTTTCTTAATCTTTGAGACACTCTCTTTCTAAGAAACAAGTATTAGTTCTGTAAAGTTGGTATTTTGGGAGGACCTCACCATGCAGACTGGTTTCATGAACTTAGACCCAAAAGCACCAGTTGGCATCTCTGTCCAGCTGCTCCGCATAAAGTCTCGCATCGGTATATAATCATCCTCTCCTTTCTTTTTGTCTTGGTACAGTCGTAAGGCGAGATCCTAGTAAGGAAGATTAGTGAGCCCCAAAATTTATCGTGCCGTCATTCTTATAAACAATACCTCCATAAACCTCAACTAGTTAAGTTAGTTATCTGCCGGGATCTAGATCGATCAGGACGATTGTCACTTACATTATTGAGCGGTAGATGTATCCATCTCATGCGAAGATCCTCAGGCAGGTATTGTTTTTCCTTTGCAGCTTCTTCGCTGATCTTTCCCAGCGTCTGTCTTGCCTGTTGCATGATCTGATCCGCACCACCATCTTTTTCCCTCCCCTTTTCCGTGCTGGCACCCTTGTAGATGACATTCCACATTTTGCGTGACCGGCGAAGGATATCCACCCGTCCATTTGAGTTGTAGAAATCAACAATCGTGGCGTCATACTTCTCAATTTCGTCTTTTGTAGATGAATCTAGCTTCAACTTCTCGTTCAACTTGTGCGAATCCGATGCTTCTATCACGGGAGGGGGGTCTCGCAGCATATCCAAGGTTAGAAAATACCGGTCGTCAGTGCCTGATCCGGCCTTGTCGGTTTGGGACCTAAGACCATCGTTTCGACCGTCATTTCCTACTCTATCTCCGTCTCTTTCCTTACCGGGTTTTGGTGTTTTCGCATTCCTGAATTTCATCTTCTCCGCTATTTCTTTGGCTTCCCTTCGGTCCTGAGTTGCTTTGCTGCTCGGAGGAGCTGTTCTCAGAAGCCACCAAACAACAACATATCTTCCATGATAAGCAGCGAGTTTCAGCGGGGTGTTCGGTTCAAAATGGAGTTTGTGGCGCGGTTTTTCAAGCCGATTGAGGATCTCATAATGTTTCCGATGTCTTGCAGCCGCCCAAATAAGAATGCTTTCTTTGGTCTCCGAATCACTCATACCCATGGCCTTCGCAACATCTTCAAAATTGTTCTCACACTCCGCTTGTCGGAATGCAGCTGTTTTCTCGGTTCCATTTGCGAGGTTGGCGAGGACCTCCACAGCCTTTTCAGCGGCACTCAGCTCCTTCGTTTTCTTTTCGGCGTCCAGTTCGGAGTTATTAAAAATGTCTGCATAACACCGAACTGCCAACGTCAACGCATCGCGACCTGTATCGCCTGTTTTCAAGACACGGTCTGCACCTTTCTCCAACAGCAACTCAACCACATCACCAAACCCATTAGTGCAGGCTAGATGGAGTGGAGTCCAAGCATCACAGTCCAGGATGTCTATAGGTTGACCTTTATCAAGCAACGGCTCAATCATTTCTTTGCATCCGAACTTGCCAGCAAAATGAAGAGGGGTCTGGTCGTCCACTGATTTTGCCCAGATGTCTGCTCCATAATCTAGAAGCTTTTCTGTGATCTGTCTTATGTCGGTCTTATTCTCGTTGTAAACTAGTACATGGAGCTCCGATTCGTTGGCGTTGCTCTTCTTGTTGACATCTACTTCACGATCGATAAGCTGCTGTACAACATTTGCGGTCGAGTGGCGACAGGCCATCAATAGTGGAGTGTAATCGTCGCAGTTTTGGATATGGACATCGGGATTCCGAGCAAGTATGGTAGTTATGACCTCCTCGCTGCTATACCTTAAAGCTGTAAGTAGAGGCGTCCATCCGTCCATATCCCGCTTATTCAAGTCAGCGTTCTTCTCCAAGAGCGACCGAACGACATCCACGCTTGAATATTCAGATGCCATCATCAACGGTGTGCATCCCTCATCATTGACGGGGTTGACGTTGATATCGCTGCAATCAATCAATAGGTCAATGACTCCCTGGAAGTTGTGTCTTAAAGCCGCAAGAAGCGGCGTCCACCCATCTGGTCTCTGAGCATTAGGGTCGGCACCTCGTTCGAGTAGAAGTTTCACGATATCGGCTTTTCCTTCGATCGCAGCGCCATAGAGCGGTACCCATCCATCTTCATCTCGGGCTTCGATTTTGGCGCCTCTTTTGATCAGCAGCTCTGCGAGCTGGTAGTGCCCATGCCTCGATGCCAAATGAAGTGCTGTCTCACCAATATTCGTCTTCGCGTCAATATCGGCGTTGTCGTCGAGCGCCTTTTCCACTTCTTCGAGACACCCATCTTCAGCGTAATTCAGCAACCGCTTATCTGGTGTAGACTTATTCTCCGTTTCATTATCGCTTTCCCCGTTGGAATGAGTGCTGTCGGAGTCACTGGGGGAAGTGTCTTCGCTGCTTAAAGACGGCTTAGCGGGGCTGATGACAGGATCAACAGTTTGAGGTTTCTGTGCGCTATCTTCATCGCTGGTTGGGTTTGGGTCGTTCATGCCGATAAGGACTCGTTTATTAGAACAGGTTGCTGTAAGACACCGATGAAAATGCGATGCTTTTTGACTCAATCATCAACCCCCGATGGCCCTGGCTCATATGAAGGCCAGAAAAGAGACGGCGGCTGCATTAAACTAGCGTGTCGCGCGATATGCTGACATGGTCTGGGCTGAAATAAATACATGGCCGGCAACAGCTAGACTCGGTTCAGCTCCGTTACGAGTGTTGATGGCTGCAGATAGGCTGAGGAACTGAATATTTAATTGGCGTGGGGAACGAGCGCATGGACACCATGGATCATGGGACAGTTCGCATCCTCTTCGTAGATAGAAGCAATCACAGTCCGTCGTCTTCTTCAAGAGAAACAATTCAATGATAGATGCGGTCTAATTAAAGGATAATGTGATGAGGAAAAGAGAAAGAAGGATGAGAGAAGGAGAGATGTACTGAATAGGTCGTAACCGGGGTGGGGTCTTCCAAATTTCCCATCTTCCATTTCCTCTTTCGCTTCCAGCTTTGCTCCTCTCGTATTTGCATTCTGAATATCTTCTACAATCAATCCTCTATATTCAGGAACTCTGCATACACATACCACGTCTAGATGAAACAGTTTGGGTCATTTCTACCGGATGCTTCATGTAGCCGTAAATATATTTTAAGCCTGCGATACTTATCAATTACAAGGGCGATAAAGATACAAAATGTATTGAAAACGCTTTCCGAACAATAATTTGCGATCATCATGATTTTTCCAAGTTCACATTAACGATGGACCCATAAAGCAAGCCTGGCTGCCAGCCTGTCTCGCAGTGTGGCTATGAAAAATGGATCACAGCGCCAATGGAGGATCTGCCCTAAAATCTCACTACGAGCCGCGCCCGAGGCTGTGTATAGGTAGAACACCACAGCCTGATACCTAAAGATCCACTATCCACCTCGCTACGAGCGTTCCATAAATTGGATACTTTGCCTCATCAAAGAAGCAATCCCACGCAACCATCATCAAACGACGAATAAACCCGCAATGACACTCTGCAAGACCTGCGACTCACTACCCATCGGGGAGACTGATAAAGCAACGCTCGGAGAGTATAACGAGCTTGTTTCAAGAGCAGACGCTGGCTGCGACGGTTGTCGATTCTTCATCGCAGTTCTTCAGTCTTCTGGTACCTGGAAATCCCGCTTGGAAGAATTACCAGGGAAAGTGCTCTTCTTGGAACACCTTCGCTTGCAGGTTAAGAAACCGACCGAGTTGGGTAGATATAGATACACTGTGGATGATTTGAATTTCGATATTTGCGTTCCGGAAGGAGAAGAACGTATGTTCTATGTCGATATCCGCAGTTGAAATGCGATATGGTACCTTTTATTAACGAATTGTTAGACGAGGAACTTGACTCGGTGCGGATTGTGCCTACAAACCCCTTAAATGAGAAATGCCTCAATCAGATCCGATCGTGGGTTTCAGAATGCTCTGGACATATGAATTGCTCGAAATCGAGGCCCGTTAGCCTCCCCAAAGTGGTCATTGAAATTCCCAGTGACGAAAAAGAGGCGCCCCAAGTCTGTCTTTCCGAAGGACGAACAGGTAACTACGCTGTTCTAAGCTATTGCTCCGACAATACTCCAGCTCTGCCAGTTTCAGAAACTACCAACTTTCCTATTTCACTGGATGTACATTCGCTTCCGAAGACTGTAACGGACGCTATAGAGATCACCCGCCGATTAGGATATCGTTACCTATGGGTCGACGCGCTCTGCATGAGCGGCCACAACTGGGACGAAAACATACGGGCATTTGTTTCCATCTACAACCAAGCCGAAGTGATGCTTTCAGCCACGAATGGAGAAGATGCTAACTCGGGTTTACTTCACGAAAGACAAGTGCTCTACTCCCCGGCATTGGGCCTCGAGAAGAACAGATATCTGCGACAACAGCTGCTGCGGTGGGGATCAGATCTGGAAAACTCTCCGCTGGAGAAGCGCGGCTGGCCTTTTGTGGAACGCGCTCTAGCACCGCGGATTGTGCATTTTGGCAAACATCAGATGATATGGGAATGCGTGGCAGGACTCAAGTACGAGGCATCCAAGCACAAAAACAATGAGATCGGCAGTGGGCAGATCCGAATGCGGTATCGAAAAGAGGTGGTCCAGCCCTATATCAATAAGGCGCTCCTTGGCCACAGCAACAACGAACCCATAAACAGCAACGATCTCAATCGATATGAGGCCTGGCACCAATGCGTTGATGAATTCTCAGACCGAAAACTGAAAAGACCAGCCGACAAACTGCCCGCCATGGCTCCGCTAGCTGGTCTTCTAGATGACGGCTCCATGGGGACGTACTTGGCCGGAGTCTGGAGCAACAACATCGCCGTCGGTCTAGCTTGGGGACGACCTTGGGCTCTATTCACCCCATCGCCAGTTTACCGAGCGCCAAGCTGGAGCTGGGCCAGCGTCGAGGGCAAGGTAAGCTCGACGGTGCTTGGATGGCCGGAGGACCTGATGGAAGAGCATTGCAAGGACCCAGCCTGGATCAACAAGTACCAACCTAAACTGCTATCACATAGCGTGATCCTCGAGGACCCATCAAACCCCTACGGCCGGGTTTTAGAAGGCTCCTCCATCACACTCGAGGGCAGCTGCATTGGATTCACGAGCCTTGCGAAGGCGCTTGGACCCACTCCTCATTTTCAAGTAATCCCACTCTTAGACGAATCTCAGGCGTTCGATTGCCAATGCTGCGCTGGCCGATCGGACGAGGACCAGGAGACAGAAATGAAGATAAAGGGCGATATCGAACACCATATCTGCATGGTATTGCAGGGGGATGCATGGAGAGTACAAGAGGAGTGGAATCCACACCGGGGTTTCTGCGATCTTCTCATGCTGAAAGCTTTGGGCGACATGACTTTCAAACGGGTCGGCATGATGCGTATCAGTACCCAGGACCCCGAGCCTGCGCATGCAGCGTTCGATGCATTGGATTGGGAGAGGCGGGAGTTGAAATTGGTTTGATCTGCTGATCTCGAGTTGTGATGGATGTGCGCTTCCATGTTAGCTCAAGACAATATCACTAGATGACTACGGACTGATATATCCGGAACTGCATCCTGAAGCTATGAAGTGCATTCAGACTTATGTCTACATTCAGAGGCCTGTCGATTGCAAACTTGACGTCCATCATCTCATTCAGCCAGAATCGGACTGATAATGATAGAGCCAGTCCACAGCCCCGTGGCTAGAAGATGGACCATCTCTGTACACCAGCGCGTTTCCAGGGCCGGTTGACTCCACTGGCAACCGCACATGTTATAGAGACCTCCCCACGATGAACCGAGAATCCAGGAACCAAGAATATCGAGAGACCGAGCAAAGTAATTGTATTCGCCCCTATGTAAGGAAAAAAGCCGATACCGAATATCAAATCGTCTCAAAAAAGAATCTCTACAACAAAGATAGAGAGCAGAGCCGTTTCAAATGCCATCAATTAAGGACAACCCCCAGTTCGCAGAAAATATTCGTTACACAACAAATCTGCCAGCCTCCCGTTTTGATTTTCGCGCGCGGCAAACCGGTGGGGGAATCATAGTCGCCGAGTCATCGAAATTTTTTTTTGGTCTTTCGGAGGATGCGTCAAATTTACGAGCTGGGGTTGGCGTTCATCTGTAGAGTTCATCGCGTGTAAGCTTTCCATCTATCCATCTCGACTGGAGATTTCGATCCTCATCGAAGTCTCTCCATCTTCGTGGTTTGTTCCTTCATACCTTGCGCTTGCCTCCGGTCATGGTGACGTTGACGAAACGGCGAGTGTAGATGATTCTCTTCTTGGCGCGGCCCTTGGGGACCTTAGGCTTCTCCTGCTTCTCGACCTTGGGGGTGGCGCTCTTGACCTTACCGGCACGAGCGAGCTATACAACGATTCAGTTAGATATCACCAGTTCTGATCTGCCGAGGGGGGACCGTCTCGAGGGACGAAAAAGTGGCGGGTGGTGGGTGAGGGCGAGCTTACCGATCCGTGGACCTAGAAGAATCGAAAGTTAGCATACAAGTCCTCCTTTCATCATTTTGATCGCATTTTCCATCGAAAATGGCATCGAAAGTTCCAGGGACAACATACTTTACCCATATTGGCGGCGAAATCTGGTGCAACAAGGGAGGCTGTTTGGGAGAAGGGTTGTCGATGGCGTTGTCGTTCTCGGGAGGGTTTTGGACGAATTTTCGCTGTGCGAGTGCGGTCACGGGTTTGTGCGGTCGACCCACCGTGGGCTGGCCGGATTAATGTATTGCCTCCACTCAGCGCGCGGGCGGTGAGTCTGACTCAGCGAGCCTCGTTTAGCTCGGCTTTCCGGTGACTCACCGCGTAGCGTCACCAACTTACCGGTCGGATTCTGGGGGATTCAGTTGGAGTTGGGCAGTGGTTGGTGCTGATGACAGATGATATCATCTCAATTATCGGAGCATTCCTTTTCTCTTGGACAATGGCAATGAATGTTCCAGACTCGTGGCATCTGCCATAGGGATACTCCATGGCACATTTCCTTTACATACCTAGACTATGCGCAAAGCCACCTGAATTGCTGCGAAGTATTAAAGTAAAAAAAAAAAAAAAAAAAAAAAAAAAAAACCAATGAATAGACTCGGTCATAAGAGAAATAATCTTACAAAATAATACCCTACTATAGATCATTCAAGTATCCCCCGAAGTAGACATAACCCCTCTATTATCATAAGTAAAAACGGAGTAGCTATCGCAGCCATCCTACCTATCAACTGCCCCGCCATACTACCCGGACAACTTTTTTCTCCTCCGCAACAACCACCACCACAACCACCACATCAATCGCAACACCTCAAGACCTCTTCCATAACCTACGGAAAGAAACTAATCCTACCTACCGTACTCCACCAACTCAAATTTAACTCAACTACTATGTCGGAATACAAACCACCCGACCTCCCCTCGCCCTTCACACACACAGCCCCACCACCCACGCTCCTCACGCAAGGCGCCGAAGGCCACCTCTACAAAACGACCTACCTAACGCCGAACACATACGCCGCGCTGAAAGTGCGCCCCTCGAAACCCTACCGCCACCCGATCCTCGACCGCCGACTTACCCGCCAACGCATTCTCCAGGAGGCGCGATGCCTCGCGAAGCTAGTGCGCGAAGGGGCCAGCGTGCCGGCCGTGCTAGCGCTAGACTGGGAAGGTGAAGGGTCGGGGGCGAACGGGACCGGCGGGGCGTGGTTGATGATGGAGTGGGTGGAGGGGTTAGTGATGCGGGTGGTGTTTGAGAAATGGGAGGCGTGGATGAAGAACGAAGGGGTTCTGGAGGCCGCGCGGATCGAGGAAGAGAAGCGACGGGTGGGCGATCTGATGAGACGGATTGGGCGCGCCGTCGGGGGATTGCATAAAGCGGCAGTGAATCATGGGGATCTAACGACGAGTAATTTGATGCTGAGGCCGATGACGAAGGGATCGGGGTCCGAGTCGCAGATCGATGATGATGGGTATCCGTCTATGGATGGGGAGGTGGTGATTATTGATTTCGGACTAGCGAGTCAGAGTGTCCAGCCGGAGGATCGGGCCGTGGATTTGTACGTGCTGGAGAGGGCGTTTGCGAGCACGCATCCGCGGACAGAGCCATTCTTCGAGGAGGTGCTGGTGGGATATGCGGAGAGCTACAAGGGGGCTGGAGCGACGCTGAAGAGGCTGGAAGAGGTGCGTTTGAGAGGTCGCAAGAGGACTATGATCGGATGAGAGAACTTTCTATTATGACGATATCTCCATTATCTATTGCATATCTGTTGAATCGGGGACACCAACTCATGCATTCATCATTCATCATAAAGACAAGAAACGCCACGCTTTTTTCAAATGCACGAAAATATATACTGTGAGTGAGAGCCGTAGAAGAATAAGAAAGCAGGCAAGAGACCGGGGAAATGAGGCTGAGCAGAGGCGATCATGCACGATCTTTCACACAACTTCCGACATCCGCAAGTGCAAAGTATCCCTTGTTTTCAACCACTCCACGGTCCTTGACCACAGCCGTGTACTTGACCACCCACTGCGGCTCGACATCGCCCTGGATGCCATCCTCGGCGTTAGGGGCGGACGCAAGAATCCCGGCGCCCTTTTCACCAGGACCGAGGAGATCGCGAGTGGTACCGCTAGGCAGAATATCCATGCAATCATTGTGGGTGAGGAGTTGAATGTTCTCCTGCTTGGCGTAGAGGATCAAAGACTTCGGCACAACGCAGCAGTCCTTCAGATTGATCTGGTCGACCGAGGGCTTGACCTTCGTATGAGGCAGAAATCGAGCCAGTCTCTCACTTCCGAATTCGGCGACACCCAGCTGAGAAATCAGGCCCTTCTCTTGGAGGCCTTCCAGGGTCCTCCATGTCTGGATCATACTGTCAAAATCATCTGGCTCCTCGCTGCCGTTGTCGGAAGACATCTCGTCGTCGCTGTCGTCCTCCGCATCAAAGAGAATCCCAGGGAAGGATACGATCAACAAGTCGATAGAGTCGGCATGGAGCTCCTTCAATACTAAATCGATTGCCTCCCGGGTATGGGCGCATCGTCGGGATGCCGGAATCCCCGGCAGGTAGAACAGTTTCACCGTAATGTCATACTGGGATCGTTCTTCAGCGAGACCACGCTGCGAGAAATCGATGGCGGGGATGTAGAGCGCGTTATCGGCTATTTTCGTCCAGGAAAGATACTGCTGAACCTTTGGTACCCCGCCCGTCGCGGCGTCGGCGGAGGTCGAAGAAAGGTGTTGCGCCGTCTGAAAATTCGATCGCAGAGAGTTGATCAGTTCGACATTGGATTTGGCAGTGGCTGGCTGTCGGACAATGGTCGAACCACTTGTCATAAGATTACTGTAGAGAAAACTTCATGTTAGTTTGGTCAATCGGTGAGACGAGGGCGATCGCTGAAAAAGAGGGGCGCTTCATTGGCCGTCGCAGAGGATGCGATGGAACCTGACTTACGAGGTGGAGAGAATCAATTTCATGGTCGCTGGTGGCAAATAGATAAAGAGTGATGGAACAGCAATACTGAAATTTTCTGCAGACGATCTGTCCCCGTGGGTTGGTAGAGGGAGCGATAAACTGATGGTCAGAGAAGTGTCTGGAGGAGAATTGCTAAGCAGCCCCGCGGTTCGACTGTTTTCGGCCGCTCAGCCCGCCCGATAACGATGGAAGAATTCGATAAGGGTCCAGTTCTCTCAATTCTTTGTATACTCTAAACTTGAAGCTATATATTCTGTATCACACTTGAAAATGCATTCTACGCTCAATCATAATCAACCGTGGGATCCCAGTCTGTGGGATCATACTCGCCCGTGTTGAGCAACTGCACATCCTCCTCGGACAACTCGAAATCAAACACTTCGGCATTCTCCTGGATGCGACCGGGGGTGGCGGATTTAGGAAGGGGAACAAAGCCCTGTCAGATCCCAATTAGCGCAGTGTTCATGTCCAGGCAAGTATGGATCACGAATCTTACCTTCTGCAAACTCCAGCGGATCATGACCTGAGCGGGAGACTTGTTGTACTTCTTCCCGATCGTCTTCAACACCGGTTCGTCGAGGCGATATGCATGCGCCAGGGGAGAGTACGCTTCCACCACAATGTTGCGCTTCTTCAACCACTCGGTGATGTTAGTCCGATCGAGCCACGGGTGCAACTCATACTGTCCGACATCGATAGTGCTGCCCCCGCCTTCTTTGATGTACTGCTCCAGCTCCTCCAGATGATGGATCCCGTAGTTCGAAACCCCGATCGATTTGATCTTTCCTGCCTCTTGGGCCTCGACTAATGCACGCCACGAGCCAAGACGGGCTTGCTTTCCGCCGTAGGGAGCGTGAATCAGAATTCTAACGATCAGCATTAGCGCGGTACGCAGTACAACTGTACAACTCATCGATAGCGAGAGGAGAGGGGGTTTGATGCGGGGTAGCATTCGGCCGACATACAGGTCGAAATAATCCAGCTCGGCCTCTTTCAGACTGCTTTTGATGGCTCGTTTGGTGCGATCGTAGCCCATCGATTCAGGTGGGATCTTGGTTGTAAAGAAGAGCTGAGAGCGGTCGATTCCAGATTTCTGGATGGCGCGACCGCATGGGCGCTCGTTGCCATACATAATTGCGGAGTCCACCTGTTCATGGTGAGTATCTTCGCATGATCTTATAGAGTGTTGACCACGTACATGGCGATAACCGATTCTGAAGGCTTCCAGAGTGCTCCGCTCAGTTTTCGAAGAAGGACTGAAGAGGATCAGTGAGGAACACATCGAATCTTCAAGGGAAATGCACAAACATCATATAGACCTGTTTAGATTATCAGCGTTGTTTCCCCGCTCATAGCATCAAATTGACCTACTCCGTATCCAAGGATCGGGATTTCATGACCCGAGTTCATGCGGTACGTGGACCGTAGACCTTGAAGGGCTGCCATCTTGGTACTTGAGGAACTGAATAGGTTGTTGCAAAGAGTATGAGTAAAGAGAAGAAATCAAAATATGAGATGGGCGGATTGTGATGGCGATGAGATCATCGGCGGGTCCGGCTGCAGTGCTGCAGTGATCTCATTTCAGCCATCGACACCACCGGTGTCGAGATGTACTATGAAACTGTCTCATTCAAGGCTCAGACACCTGCATCAAAAATATGAATTTGATTTGAAGAATACAGTTGAGGATTTTTTTTGGTTTTGGTAACTTTACAAGCATGCCCTCATTTGCATTTAGCGGCCTGAGGCAGCTCGGGAATTATATGAACATTGGACATGCCTGATCCGATCACTTCTTTGTTGGCCGCTATAGAAAAGGTTATAAATTATAACCCATCGGATGTTTCTTCTTCTTTGCAAGTAATAATTAGAGCTGGATGCTCCTTTACCCTTCAAATTTTCATATCCGCAACGGCGAGATAAGATGCGGTTCCTGAATATACATGATTGCAGACCCACATACCACACTCAGTGTCAGTATGACATTCATTCTCGACTTTGAACTTTCGCTTTTGTAACTCAAAGTACGAGAGTAACTACCATGGGATTGATAATGAACCAGAGGAATGCATATAACTCGGCATAGAAATAAACCACCTCAGCACTCCAAACAGATCCAACCATTACTTGTTGGGGAACTTATTCACTGAACAGTAGCTCACCAGTGAAGTTATCTGGAGGGAATCAAGACCAAATTTTAAGATTCGGATCATAGGCAACTACTGTGGCTTTTCAGCGAAGAAAATACCCAAGAGAAAGTGACTTTTTCATCCACCCAGAATCCAGCAAGACAAACACACTCCCTCGTTTGTTCCCAACCATCCCTCACTCAAGACCTCTCACTCAAGACTTCCCATCTCTCGTTCAACCCCTCATATTCCTTATTTCTCCCCCTTATCATCATCCATCTTTTTACCTGTCCTCGCCCTGCCAAGATGTCCCAAGAGGACACCCAGCCCGACAATTTACTTCAAGAATTTGACCCCAACGGAGATGTCATTTTCGTCGTGGGAGAAGGCATGTTGGAAAAAGAGAGAAAATTCCTCGTCTCCTCCAGAGTACTGAGTCTTGCATCACCAGTCTTTGCGAAGCTATTCTCAGAAAGCTTCTCAGAAGGCATCGAACTCAAAAAAGGCACATGCCCCGAGCTCTCACTTCCAGAAGACGACCCCCAAGCTATGGAAACCATATTTCGAATCGCCCACTTCCTGAAACCAGAAGAAGTCGCACCCCCGATGACAGAATTCCCCGCTAAGGTTGCTGTTCATGCCAATAAGTACGACTGCATGAAGGTTGTGGCAGCGTGGTTGACAAAACATTTGTACCACCCCCGACTGAGACGACGCCAAGATGATCTGGACGCAATCAATTTCGGCCATATGCTCCTATCCGCCTTTCTTCTTCAAGACCCAGAGACTTTCCACGCCTTATCAGCTCTAGCTCAAAAGTCAATGACTCCAGGAAATCTTGAGGCATGGGAGTACTCCGGCATGCTTCAGCCAGGCCTATTTCCGCAAGAAATTTCAGGTAGGTTCCCTTAGTTGTTGACCCCCCCCTTATAAGGCCTTCATTAATTACCTGCTAGTCCATCTGAGGGTGAATATAGAAATGATGTTGGACAAGATCTTCGAAATGCTCCAGGCCGTGGAAGAAAGACTTGAACAGAACAAACACATCCATCTCATGGAAGGGGTAGTCTGTACGGACTGTGAAAGGACACACCCTTCCAACGCCAAAAGATGTCGCTCCTGTCCAAATTCCATAATGCATGAAAAGTATTGCGATAGCAGTCTAAGAGTGTCATTGTATGTTTCGGGATTGAGACGAGCGGGCCTACGACACCCCACTCCACGAAAGCTTAGAGCTAACACTGGGTTTCAACTCTCTGATAAGATTGGTTTGATGCATCTACAGCACAGATGTATGGCTGGACCGGGCTGTCCGCTCAATCTGGAGTTGAATAATTGCATTACGGATTGTGAAAAAATCATGCGCGACGCTGAGGGTCTATGGCTGCAGGACCTTTCATTGACTACCTGAATTTCATGCAAGGATCTAATACAATGCGTCCTCGAAATTCTGTTTCAGAATTGATATACCTTATTACAGCACAAATTTATGTTCTTATAGCAAGGATATGTTTTTTTACGCCCCATGCCTGACTTATCATTATTCCGCGGTCGAAATCCCTATGTTGTCCATCTTTCGGGTTCTTGTCATTGTTTTTCCTCACTGAAATGGCCTTATTATCAAAGCAGGGGTACTATATTCTAGCAACCCCATCCTGTATCGAGCAAATTGAACTCAAAACTTTCCAGATCCAATTCCGTTTCAGAATCCCCTAGATGATAGACAACCACAAACCGAGACACAAGATCTCGATACCGCGACGATAAAACAACAAGCCAACAAACCCCGCCGAATCGGGGACCCAAAATAGGAAAACCCCCGGCCGATCAAAAAACCCAGACAATCCTGCATGAATCCACAAGCTCTCCAAGGCCTATCAAGCAACCACACCTTAACCAGACAGCCAAAGAATCAAGCATCAGCGATTGCCTCACTCTGCTCCCTGTGCCACCATCCCTGCTAATCCTCTTCAGGATCATACTAACTATCTTAGACCATGCAAATCAACCAACATATTACCCGGTTTGCATGATAGCTGAGTATCGGCTCGGCATTGAATATCGGATCGGACGAGGCTCAGCCGTAAGATATTGGAAGGGAAAATAGAGTTGCCACGTACCCTGTAGAGTGCGGGCTCGCAAGACCCCATGAACAAGGTTAGCGGTCCGAGGACAAGCTAAGACCTACGCTAAACTAGGTTCTAATTCAGCAGAAACACAGCCTTGTGGACTGCGGAGTTTGGGGTGGCTGATAGCAGTGGTAGATAGGTAGCTTAGTATCAACTGTTGGATTTCATAGCGAAAGCAAATAATCAATTCTTTTTCCTAATGTCAAACCCATATTAAAAATCCTGTATCGTACACAGTATGTAAAGAATAACTAGAGCAAGACGAATATCGTAGATGTAGCTATGTATGTAGCACAACGTAGTAACCATCCCATCCTCTTCCTAGCCAATGATTCCCGGTAACGGAAAACCAACAGCGAATACCCAGAAAAAATTGCACCAAATGCATCTTGATTGCGAGACCGAAGAAATCAGCAAAGGATTCTAGCCCGTGAGTCATGAGGCTCTGACTCCAAGGCTGAGGCTGAGGCACAGGCTGATGCATTCCTCCATGCTCCGTAGGCCTAACGGGGGCGAGGCTACCGGCCGCCGGTGGGTTGTCGATCCTGCAGATCCACAACCCAGGTTGCGATTCGCCAACAACCTTCTCAACGTCGTGTTGACTACCTGCAGGCTATGACTAGGCAGAACAGGCTACTCAGACATGTGAAGTCATACAGTATTCAGGCTGAGCGGGGGACTGATGTCTGGGAAGATGAAGGAATATAAGGAGCGATGGTTTCGCTGTTCAGGATGGAAATTAACTACCAAGCAATCAATCTATCTATCTATTCCAGGACTCTGCGAATTTAATTATTCGCAGACATTTCATCCGGCAAAATTTTTCAATTTTTCAAAAGTTTTTCCTTTGAACGTTCCCCAACCATGACGCAGATTACTGGGGAAGTGATCAAGAAGGAGGAGGGCGTGAATCCCCCTGAGAATGAGACGAAGAAGAACGAACAATCCGGTGAGTACAGCTGACAACACACTTCCTCAGACCAAGCAAGCTAACATTCCCCGACCAGAGGATAAGAAGGAAGAGAAGAAGGAATACGCCCCCGTCGGCACCATCTGCGACGTGCAAAACCTCTACCAGACCAAACCCGACGAGAACGAGTGCACGTCATGGTCGAAGGAAATCCCCGACGACCTACCCGTGGCCGTCGAAGACGCCGAATCGGCCCAGTTCGCGCTAATTCTCCGAAAGACCAAATGCTACGACGGACTGAAGAGTCTCTCGATTCACTCGGTTGTGGTGCAGAGCGAGCCCCTGAAGAAATTCCTGGGCAAGGTGCTGGACGGATACCCCGGTGTGACGTTGACGTTGGATCGAGTGGAATTCGTCAAGCCCTTCGCTCCCCTCGTCCACCGATGGGAGGGCTTCAGCAAGGCGTGTGAGGAGGAGGAGGATGAGACGACGAAGAAACACGCGGATCTGTTCTACGGGATCCTCGAGGAGGAGCTGCGGGATGTCATCGCACGAAAGCAGGACCACATTAAGCACGGAGTCATCACGTTCAACCTCCTCTGGACGATCTTCGAGCCTGAGGATGTGGTTATCACCTCCCTTGGCGGCCACCAGAGCGGATGTCGATTTGTCAGTGGGGAGGTAGACTGCGAGGAGGGGTCTTATGAGGCGAACGTGAAATACGTCGAGTTTGACGGCGAGGATTTCGGATGGAAGGAAGACACCGAATCGATCCGCTTCTTTACGGGGACAGCCCCCATAACCTCCTTGGACATGTACCCTCTGCGATACCACCCTGAGAAGGCGACGATCCGGGAGTCATTGGTGGCTCGCGGAAAGAGGTGGGAGCAGCACAAGGGGTACCACTACAAGAACTACGAGGGACCAGCAGTCTCGGTCGGTAGAGATGATGAGGAGGAGACCAAATACCATGTCAAAAGCCGCATCATCATCGATGCCGAAGGATTCAACATTTTCCACCCCACCGAGACCGTCAGAGTTGATGAAACGATCCACGGTGATCTCTCCGACGACCAGCTACTAGTCACAACACCCGCGGTACACGGATACTCCCTCAAGGATAAGGAGTGGCTCCGACTATACCTCGACTCGACCTCCGACATCAAATGGGACTCCAACGCCTTCGAATCCCTAGTTCTCCCCTCGGAGCAAGCCAACTTGAAAGACCTGGTCCTTGCCTTTGCCAAAGCCCAGTCCAAACAGCTCGACAACTTCGACGACGTGGTGCAGGGCAAAGGCCGAGGAATCGTTATGCAGCTCAGCGGCCCTCCCGGAGTCGGTAAGACGCTGACAGCCGAGAGCGTGGCCGAAGTGATGCAAGTGCCTTTGTACGTGATGAGCGCCGGAGAGCTCGGTTCCAGCGCGGACACGGTCGAGCGACGTCTGAAGAACATCCTCCGCATGATCCCCAAATGGGGCGCCGTGCTTCTTCTCGACGAGGCGGACGTGTTCATGGAAGAGCGTAACGCCACGGACCTGCAGCGGAACGAGCTGGTTTCGATTTTCCTGCGTATGCTGGAGTACTATGAGGGAATTCTCTTCCTGACCACGAACCGGGCCGAACGCATCGATCCTGCCTTCGAGTCCCGGATCCACGTCTCGTTAGTATACAAGGAACTCGACCAGGCGTCGAGACGGCACATCTGGACGCAGTTCCTGGGTCGCAACACGTCGGCATTCACGGATGAGCAGTTGGACAGCATCTCAGAGATTGAGCTCAACGGTCGACAGATCAAGAATGCACTGAAGACGGCGAACCTTCTGGCTTGGGTGCAGGGATCGGATGTCAAGTATAACCATGTGAAAACGGTTCTGGACCTTCGGTCAATCTCCAAGCCTAAGCTAGATGGTTGAGCGATTAGAGTGGAAGAGACCTGTTATGAAATGATTTAATCTTAGCTCGTTCGTCATATAATATATCCTTATTGAGCGTTAAACCACAACTTCTATTGTAGACCGTTCTTTTCCAAAATTTGAGTTGATTGTCTAGACATAATAAATTCAAATCACTTAGCAAAGGAATTTCTGGCTCAGGGTGATCGAAAAAGCAGCCCTTCGAAAATTTCAGTCTCTGAATCACCGTTCTTCGATGGTAGATGTCAACTTGGTTGTGTTTGGAGAAAGGTCTTCCATCGTTGCATGCATAGAACGGTCATGGAAGGGTAGGCAAACGGCAAAATAACGTCAGCTTGCACCTCGGACATCTCAGAACCTACATTTTCGTGGATGAACACGAAGAAAAAAGCCAAATGACAAGAGTAAGCCCCGACGGGGCGAGGCAACTACACATACTAAAGACAGTAAATGCTGCTTTCAACCCGTGGATTGGAATGGAATAGAATCGAGCAAAATATATACAGGAGAATAAGTGAACAGAGAATCAGGAGGCCAAAAAAAAGCTCTATGACACCAGAAAGATGCGAATAAAAAAGCAGGGAGGAAAAAAAGCAAAACTTGACAACTCGTGAGAGTTATATCAATGTAGAAGAACTTGTGGTATATTCCCACAACTCCCGACAAAACAAGGGCAAAATCCGCGTGAACAACATTAAAAATGATATATAGCTGAAACCAACTGAGAAACTAATTGAGTTGAACGTAGTTTGCTACATGAATATTAGTATTTGCAAAAAGACGGCTGTGGTTTGGAATAAGAAGCCTACCTGGAAACTGCCCCTCGCGGCCGTCAACACGGCCACTCCACCATTCGTGTTGGTTGTCCGTCCTTTGGACGATTTCAATGACATCACCCGCGGAGAAGCTGAGGTCCCCATGCGCCTGTGCTTCGTAGTCGTACAGGGCCGTGACTGTCTCGACTTGTGCGGCGAACCGAGCCGGCTTGGGCTTGGGAGGGGGAGGAGCGGGCTTTGACTTGGCGGCAGCGACAAAGCTGCTGCCGGAGCTAGCGGCGGAAGTGTAGGGGGGCGGAGGGTTATCGACACCAGCTTCGGGGTCCTTCTGCCGCGGAGCAAAGCGCTCCTTGTTTTCGTTCGCCATTTTGTCCTTGGGGTTGAATTTCGAGTTCTGTCGACCCAGGCCCTTGGTCTTGTAATGAACGATGGTGAGCTCCTCGGCGCGCTCCTTGACGTCGCCTCGCTTTTTTTCGAATGCCTCCTCAACATCCAGCGCGAGTTCGAAGTATCCAATGTTTATCCCTTGCATCTTATCGTGCAGCGTGTAGAAGACGTTCAGTTGCATGTAGTAGAAGGACTGGAAGAGCGGACGAATGAATTCGGCCTCGAGGGCGAACAGTTTGGGTAGCTCATCCTTCATCAAGTCATTGTAGTAGTTGAATTCCTGCGTGGCTTGCTCGACGTCGTTTTCCGCCTTGTAGAGCGCCTTCTCGTCCTTGAGTGATTTGTCCTTCTTTTCCTGGAGCTTTTTCAGGGAGTTGCGATGTCGGTCGTAGTCCAACTTCTTGTGATCTCGCTTGACTCCGACCTTCCGAATAACCTTAATCACCTCGAGCAATTGATCTGCCGGGCTGATGATCCGGCTTTCGATCATTTCTAATTCGGGCGCTAGTGACTCCTGAAGATCGCGAACAATGGCCTCGTATTCCTCGCAGGCCTGGATCCCTTCCGGATTGCCTTCGATCGTGTACGAGCTGGGGTCGGAAGCACGGCCGGAAATGGGTTTGTATAGTTCGGTCATGGCCTTGGAGAATTCGATCTGGTGGTTCAACATGCCTATAGAGAGTGGCGGGGTAAGGTTAGCCGACACCGCGTGCGCCTAGTCACAAACCGCAGACCGGATCATACCATTAATGGCGTCAAAATATTTCTTGGACTCATCGTGGAGTTTTTTTGTCTCTGTCTCAAGTTCCTGGAATCGGCGCTCGGCGTCACTGTAGACCATGTCCTTGGTGTTTTCGCCAATGTTAAAACGGGACTTTAAGGTCTGCGGCGCCCGAACCAGGCTCTTCTGAAAGCCCTTCAAACTCATCTTGAAGTCGTTGCGGGTGCCCGGAAGTTATGCGGAAGTAGTGGGGGTAGGCAACGACTTAGTAGGAAGCGCGCGGAAAGGGGAATTAGAGGTCTTAGAGGGGGAAAGAGGGCAAGGAAGGGAAATAATCAAGGAAACGAAGAGGCAAACGCGAGCGGAGGTGGGGGGAAGCGCTCTTTTGTTCGCTGCGATAGTGATTCGATCGGGGCCTGCCCAAGGGTTTTGAGGACCAACCGGTGACGGTTAGACTGCAGTTCGTCTTTGCTCGGCGTGGCTCAGCTATGACATAAGACGCCCTACGCCTGTGGCTGAGCGTGTTTTGGTTTGGTTGCCGGGAAGTAATGGATGTGTGGGGAGTGGAAACAATGGTAAACACCAGTAGTCCAGTACGTTGTTCGGTAAACAAGGGAATGAAAAATGTTACTTCCACTCTGTTTTCATTTACTTTATCGGTGAAATAGCAGAATTATATCTCCTGGAGTGACCTTGCAGTCGATGTGGCGTAAGGCAGGGCAAGTGCCCTCCCATGGACCGTCGTTAGGCACCAGAGTATCCAGCACTAGGCCAAGTAGTTAGTTCAATAGTCGCTGAGCATTTCCGTTGTTTCCTTGCTTTTCCTTCCCTTTCCTTTTCGCCTTGACTATGCTCGATCGGGTCAATCTGACTGGCGTTTCTTAGGCTGGCACTAGGCATTCAGCAGCCGGCGACACAGCCTATTTCCCCGTATTTATATTGGCCGAGATGGGGAGCATTCTGGACTGCATATTCGGATCGTGCAAGGGTATATAGTCTTGGTTATTTCGAGAAAGATCTGACGAGCCAGAGTGCTTGGAAATCATGAGCGCCCGATGCCGATCGGGAAATATATAGTACTCCGGACGGGGAACGCCGATGGAATCGATGAAAGCATGCGTGTCAGATTCAACCAAAGAGGTTCAAATTCACTATTGAAAACACAGCTCTATCCTAAGATTCAAATCCCTATGAAAGAAACATACTGACGCAGTGAATACGGAGGAAGTACAGAAAACCCCGAACTCCGATCGGACTTCTATCAGATAAATCCGATCGGGTTTAGCGGGCTCGGCAATGATGATATAACCGGATCCAAACTTTTTTCCCACTCGCCGCCCCGTCTTACCCTCCCTTCGCTGTCATCATCTGCTACCAACTGTCCCTATCATTTTTGTATGGTTCAGTTGCAGTGTCATCTTCACTATGTCTAGTGTGACCCCCGCTGCCTTGAGACAGGCATCCCGAGCCTACGCTTGTCGACTTTCGTTGACGCAGCATGGTTCCCTTTCCTCGACTTTCCCGCGGCGAGCGCTCGCCACTCCGTCCAGACGCACCTACGTCTCCGAGACCAAGGCTGGAAATGCCCAGGTCTCCGTCGAAACGGCCATCAAACAGGAACAGAAGGAGTTCGTGAAGCAGACGGGTATGCAGCCCCAGAAGGCCGAGCTTCCCGGCTCTGGAGTCTCCGGCGATGCTTCGATGAGCCCGACGGCCGGCATCCTGAAGCAGGCCACCGTCATGGATCAAGGAACGCGACCCATCTACCTCGATATGCAGGCTACGACACCCACGGACCCCCGTGTCCTGGATGCTATGCTTCCCTATCTCACCGGAATCTACGGCAATCCCCACTCGAGAACTCATGCGTACGGCTGGGAATCGGAGAAGGCGGTCGAGCAGGCGCGTGAGAACATCGCGAAGCTGATCGGTGCCGACCCGAAGGAGATTATCTTCACTAGCGGCGCGACCGAGAGTAACAACATGAGCATCAAGGGTGTGGCCAGATTCTTCGGTCGCTCCGGCAAGAAGAAGCACATCATCACCACCCAGACGGAGCACAAGTGTGTGCTGGACAGCTGCCGACATCTGCAGGATGAGGGATTCGACGTCACATATCTGCCTGTGCAGAGCAACGGATTGATTCGCATGGAGGACCTCGAAGCGGCCATCCGTCCCGACACGGCCCTGGTCAGTATCATGGCCGTCAACAACGAGATTGGTGTCATCCAGCCCATGGCCGACATCGGAAAGCTCTGCCGCTCCAAGAAGGTCTTCTTCCACACTGATGGTGCTCAGGCTGTGGGCAAGATCCCCTTGGATGTCAACAAGCTGAATGTGGATTTGATGTCCATCTCCAGCCACAAGATCTACGGCCCCAAGGGAATTGGTGCCTGTTACGTGCGTCGCAGACCTAGGGTCCGTCTCGAGCCCATCATCTCCGGAGGTGGCCAGGAGCGTGGTCTGCGTAGTGGCACCATCGCGCCTCACCTCGTGGTCGGCTTCGGCGAGGCCTGCCGACTCGCCATCCAGGATATGGAGGTAAGCTAATTTTCACATTTCTTTATTGTTTTGGTCCCATTTTTTTCGGCGATGATTAAACGCTTTAATACTTCTCAACTTTCTGAGGGTGTTTGGGGGTAGCTGCACGCTTGACGTGTTCCCATCACTATTGATGTACGTAGCAGGGGTAATGAGTCGATTGTTTTTGTCGGGACCATGTTTGATCAGTTGGAGTCGAAGACTGTGATCGCTAACGATTATTCGCAGTATGATAACAAGCACATCGAACGTCTGTCGAAGCGTCTGTCGGACGGTCTTTTGTCGATGGAGCACACCGCTCTTAACGGAGACCCCGAACACCACTACCCCGGTTGCGTCAACATTTCCTTTGCCTACATCGAGGGTGAATCTCTCCTGATGGCCCTGAAGGATATCGCTCTGTCGTCCGGCAGTGCCTGCACCTCCGCCTCTCTGGAGCCGAGTTACGTTCTTCGTGCGCTGGGCAGCAGCGACGAGAGTGCTCACAGCAGTATTCGATTCGGAATCGGTCGATTCACCACGGACGATGAGATTGACTACGTCCTCAAGGCGGTGCAAGCCCGCGTTCACTTCCTGCGCGAGCTGAGTCCCTTGTGGGAGTTGGTGCAAGAGGGTATTGACCTGAACACGATCGAATGGAGCCAGCACTAATTTCGTAACCTTCTTGACCGGCTTGGTATTGTTTTGTGGCTATATTTTGTAATTTCGAAAGACTGCCAAAAGTCGACGGCGCAGTCTATTCCATTGCGTTCTTTTACTTCGAGATATCTATCTACCACGGGATGGCGTTGGATGTGTAACAATAAGCGGACGAGTGCTTAAGTCTGTACAAAGAATGAGATTGAGCGTAGGAATAGATTGATTTATTTTTTTATTTGAGCATTCATTTGGATTTTATAGACAAGGTAAAGCAAATTGTAAATGCAGTGGGTGCACGTAGTATGTACAAGTCTCCTCAAGACCCTCAAATCCGGAGTACCCCATCCGTTCATGGCAGCCAAGGTTGATAAGATTAGAAGATAAAATCCGAAAGCGGTTAACCGTCCAAATAAGCTGACGGCAACTCCACGGCCCTTGCAACTCACCGCAGACCCGAACGGGGTGGCGTGGGTGCGAGCGAGAAGACCCTTTAGCTCGCCTCTCGCTCGCTTAAAGCCCCGAAATCGCACCCACGGCTCAGTCTGCCAGACTCCCGGTTCATTCTCTAGCACTCACGCTAGTTTGCCTCCCTGACCACCCCTTTCGCTCGCACCCAATGTTGCCGCTGGTGCAGTTGTCAAGATCAAGCTTGAGATCGTACTTGAAGTATGTAACGGCTTCTGGAACCTCCATCCATGGATTTGTATATCACATCGCCATAGATAACCTGGAAATGTTCTCCAGTCTCAACCCCCACCGTTATTTCCTGGCCATTGCCCGTCAGTCACCTTAGTCCAATGACAACCCTAGTCGCTGCCACCCAAATATGATGGCTTTTGCCATCTATTCCGTGCTCTATAGTCACTGGCTGGCCCACCGGTCCTTAGTCAACGGTTCTCCCTCCTGCGTGATTGACCACGACGATAACGGAGAATGCTGCCCCTGGTCGCAAAATCCCGGTTTTAACAGCAGTCGGATGACACCCAATATGCTACAAACTGCCTCCCCTGGCTGATTAATTCACTCTTTTACCCGGTTAATCTCCGTGGTTGCGCCGTATTCTGGGAAGGACTCCCTCTTCTCCTCGTGCCGGACAAACCGATTGTCGGTTTGATCGGCTGAGCGGTTTTCGCTCCCTCTTTTCCCTCCGTCTTCTTTGTCCTCGTTTCATGTCTCTTTCTCCTTTCGTTTTCACCGTCATCATTTTGAGTTCTGTCAACCTCGTTCATGAGCCGGAACATTCTCTCTTTATCCCTTGCATAAACTACATTTTCACGTCACTGCAACTCTGAGCCTCTATCTTCCGCATTGAGTGTCGTCAGATCAAAACCCTCGTGTCAAGATCCCTCAGAGAACTTGTTTGTCATACCCCGAAAACATCATAATCACGTTGCTATTCAACTTTACTCCGTCTGTCGTGTGGCTTATTGGAAAGATTTGATCCGATAGGCCCCTCTATCTCTTGTCACACGACCACCGCCAAGGGGATTGATTGCTTTGTGGCAGGCAGGAACATTCACTTCATCAGGCTGTGTACCTGTTGAGGACGGCTGAGGGCCAGGTATCGATCCCATTTAGACTCGGCTGTCGACGACATTGTCCTGAGCGGCGTACGATTTTGAACGACATCATCTTGCGGCACGTGAGGTGCTGAACATTATTTACGAGACGGTTTCGAACATCGTCGGTCTCGAGATCTTGGACATACACTGCATATTGAAATATTCTATTCAGTCACAATGCTTCCCCCAGTCCCAGATCTAGCCGACTATGGAATTTCGCCAAGTCATGGCTTTCTTCCGTCCGAGATCCCTCTGGATATCTTGCCAGACCCTTACTACCATAAGTGGGAATGGACGGTGTTGAACATGCAATCTCTGCTCCTGAGTAGGAGAATTCGTGAGGTGGTAGACCGCATGCCGATGCTGTCTACTGCTTATCTAGCCTCGGAGGGCGAGTGGAGAAGGGCGTATGTTGTGTTGGGCTTCATTCTGCACGGATATGTCTGGGGTGGCAACAAGCCTGCCGAGGTACGTGATTGGCTCAACCACTCAATTGAATGCACCCTTTTACTAATTGATCCCAGAAAATCCCACCTCAGCTCACAGTGCCCCTCTTCGAAGTATGCGAACACCTTGAACTCCCTCCCGTGGCAACATATGCCGGGGTATGTCTATGGAACTACAAGCCTATCTTCCCGGACGAGCCACTTGACGACCTCCACAACCTGGCTTGTGTTAATTCATTTACTGGTTCGTTGGATGAACAATGGTTCTACTTGATATCCGTGGCTATTGAGGCTCGCGGTGGTCCAGCCATCCCGGTGATGCTGCAAGCAATCTCCGCCGCCCGCGGTGGAAACACCGTGGTCGTGACCGAGTGCTTGCAAAGACTTGCGGAGATTATTGACGAGGTCGCCACCCTACTGGAACGAATGTACGAACACTGCGATCCTTACGTGTTCTACCACCGCATCCGGCCCTATCTCGCCGGGAGCAAGAACATGGCCGATGCCGGTCTTCCCAACGGTCTCTTGTACGACAACGGGACGGGCAAGATTGATTACCGCCAGTACGGCGGTGGAAGCAACGCACAGAGCTCTCTCATCCAATTCTTCGATATCGTCCTTGGAATCGAGCACCGTCCAACTGGAGAGGGTCGTCCAAAGAAGACGGAGGACGAGAAGGAGGGAGTCCCCGGCGCTCCTCGGCATGGATTCATTCAGGAAATGCGGTCCTACATGCCTGGACCGCACCGTCGGTTCCTGGAACATGTGAACGCCGTGGCCAACATCAGAGAGTATGTGGAAGATCGAGAGTCCGACAAGGCGCTGTGCATCGCGTATGACGGATGTCTCTCCATGTTGCGAACCCTCCGCGACAAGCACATCCAGATGGTCTCGCGATATATCATCATCCCATCGCGAGACTCGAAGCCACGAGCTCCGCGAGCGTCCAGCCCGCGACGACAAGCACCGGCTATGAACCTGGCCAACACCCGGAACGCCAACGGCAAACTCGACAACAAGAAACTCCGAGGCACGGGAGGAACCGCGCTCATCCCATTCTTGAAACAAGCTCGTGACGAAACGGGCGAGCCAGCCATTGACGCATGGGCGCGGCGTCTACTTAGCGATCGTCCGGCCGAGACCTTCGCCTCGCTCAGCAAAGTAGGCGAGAACCACGGCGGCAATCTAGAAGTGGTGGGACTATCGGGGACCTGGACGGCCGCCGACAGCGAAGGAGGCATATGCCATTGGTGATGGACATACGGTATACTGAGTACATCGACGATTTGTTCTGATATGATTTCACTGCTTTGATTTATTGGCTCATCGAATGCCTTGTTTCAGCGATATAGCACGCTATGATTTAAGACCCAGTTAGAGCGCACATTTAGCGCTAGAGCGCCACAATGGAAGATTCCACGATCTCTGTCCACTCGATTAAGTTCCAGTAAATGAAATATCCAAGTAAACCCGGATATCACGCGTGGCCATGACGCACTTGCCGTACGTCATGGCTCAGGGGCGGCTATCACATGAATGACGTCATGGGTTATTCACTCATGCATGAGGGGAATAGATATAAAGACCCCAACGACTTCAACTTCCCCGGACTCTCATCTATCAAACAATCTGATTATCTACAAGCAAGTCTACAAGCAAGAATCTACTTTATCTACTCTACATTTCCACAATCCACTTTCATCAAACCACCATCACCATGTCTTCTGAGAACCCTTCCACTCTCAAGTCCTACGTTGACTCTGCCACTGGCCTCGCCCAGCGCGCCGTGGGCACCGTGACCGGCAACTCCTCCACCAAGGTAAACATCCCCATCCCAATACACCCACCTCCATACTCTTTCACCCACCAAACAAAAACTAACCCAGCTCCCCACAGGCCGAAGGCGAAGACGCCCAAGCCCAAGCCGCCAAGGACCACGAAGCCAGCCACACGACTGCCAAACTGGGCCCTGTGACCGCAGACCCCAACACTGGCGCTACTGCGGTCGACGACCCTCAGCGCAACAACGGCACCTGGGACCAGACCATCGGCTCGGCCAAGGAGTCGCTCGGCAACCTGACCGGCTACGAGAGCCTTCGTCGCGAGGGCGTGGAGCAGAACTCGCGCGGCAAGGCCGCTGAAGCCGAGGGCCAGCTGAAGGACTGGGGTGAGGGCATGAAGGATCGTGCGACGGGCGGACTCGGCAAGGTCGCTGCTGTCGCGAAGGGCGATCGCGAGGAGGAGCGCAAGTGGGAAGAGATGCATGATCAGGGCAAGGTGCAGCAGAGAGGTGCGGAGGCTGATATCCAGAAGCGGGCTGCTTAAGTTCGCCTGGGGTTGAGTGATACCTGAGCCAGGATGGTTTAATTTTCTTTTCTGCACTCTCGGAGCTGAGCTTGGAGGGTTGACTTCTGTCTTCTGATGAGAATGATTTACGATTACTATGGCGTTGTATAATATCGATATCCAAATCGCCAAATCTGATACTTATTCCTTACTGGATCTTTTTTTCAAATTGTAGACGAATCGTAGGTTTCTGATCTACGGTGAACGGTATAGTAGTTGTCGACTCTTGCTGAATGGTGACAGCCAGGTACCGTCTGCTCGACATCGATTCAAAGCTAGTAACTCCGATTTTAGCAAGGTGTGACACAATTGTATCATTCAAAAATGACAGGTTCAAGTCTTATAACATTTCATTTCTTTTATTACCAAATCTCCTTTCAATATCTGATGCCGATTCCTTGACTTGCTCTTCTGAGTGATAGTTAATTATAGGTCTATCATAAGCCCATAATAATTACCCATATTGCAAGCGAAGGCGCTAGATGGAAACTGGAGTCCTTAAAAAAAAGGATTTATTAAGATGCTAATCAGACGTCACCGAGACATACTTTACATAGTCTTATGTTACCCGGAAGAACTTTATCAAGCGAGTAACTTCTGCCTTTGAACCATGTACGAGGAGGATCAGGTTGATCAGGTGAAGACTTGCGTAACAAGACAAAGTCTCCTCATGCGGACGTTGCTGCCTTTGATTCAATAAATGAAAGGGTGTTGAAGGTGCCAATAGATGAAAGAAAACTACTAGGAATACATCTAACGCCTGATTCAAATATCCAACAGGACTTCTCCTGAAAACGTAAAAGTTTATTTGGTCAGTATTCAAGAGCCCGAAGAGGATATTTCCATGAGATTGAACACTTCCTTCGTCCTTCGTAGAATAGAGCAACAGGCCCAAATAATCAGGTAGAGGAGAGCGACGCTAAAGAAACTTTTGAAGCAAGATGAATCTTATTGCCCAAGCATCAGACAAATATCAATCATAAACAGTGGAGAAAGCTATTGCATTCTGCCTTTATAATACTCGACTTTCACCTAATGGTTGTTATTTTGGTGGTTCGGGCTTAATACCCTGACTTATGGAATACAGTAGACCATCCTCAAATGGGACAATTCTTTATCATACTTATTTTTGGATCGAGCGAAGATATATTTGCGACTTTGGCCTCACAGAGCGCAATGCATGAAATCTAATATGGCTTAGATCTAAGTAATGGGGGAAACATCCAGAAGGTCTGGTTTCACAAGTCCTTAGGAAACAATAATGTCCTCATGAAACAACGGCCATAGATCCCTTTTCTAGGTACGCATGCCTAGACATTCCTGTTTCTTGGGATTTAATTCTCTTGACAGACCCACGGACCTAAACAAGTAGAATATTGGTAGATATTAAAGTTCCAGGGGTATTTGTTGAATTTTGAGAACTTCAGAATAGAGAATTGAGTTAAAGTTAGGGTAGGCCGGCGGGAATCAAATCTTATCCAAATCACGATATTTATAGAAAAGGTAGTATCTGCAAAGACACAAAAATATTGATTAGAGAAATAATCTGTAGATCAACCCACCTCCCAAACTTTCTCTAATTCCAACAAACTCAAGCCAAAACAGCGGGAGTTTGGAGATGGGGACGGCGATCGACCGATTTTTGGGCTCTTTTGGATTTTTCTTGGAGATCTTTTTTGCGACATCTTTGGTGTCTAGATCAAATAGTCTATCTGTTTTAAGGCGGATAATTGATGTTGTTGCTAATTGGACAGTTTATTTCGTCTAATTAGATGTCGGTAGGATGTTTTATCATGACTTGTGTGTGTTAGTTGTATGTAATAGAATCAGTAAAATCAACGCCGCTCGATGTCCTCGACATCTGGATATATGTAAGCATGTACTTGCCCTCAAGAAAGAGGAAAAGACAAAAACAAGAAAAGAAAAATATAGACATCGTAAGTCGCATCACATCTAATCAAATCAAATAACAAGAAGCTGAACAACCTCAATTACCACTATCTTATAGGTTCAACCCCTCTATCACATCTAATATGTTATCCCGTTTCACCGGATCGTTAATTAGATCATCCCAGAGCTGCTGGTCTTCGAATGATCGTTCCTTCAAGGATGATTCTGTACTGCTCTCGTCTCGAGCCTTACCCGCTATGTGATCAAGCATGTTCTGTCCCTCCTCAGTCATGTCCATGTTATCGGCCGCTTGGGAGAAGATATTCGTGCCGTTGGGCCGAAGTACGCCGCGGAGGGTGTTTGTGATGAGTCCGGCGAGCGGCACTTGGGCTGTCATGGTGAGGTTCTTCATGACGTTCGTGTAGTAGGGTACTTCGGTGCCGTCGTAGAATACCGACTTGCCGACCGTATCGAGGGTGAGGGTCCCGTCTCGGATGGATTCGAGCTGGGTGGCGAGTACGGTGCGTAGGTTTTTGATCAACACGCGGAGGTCGAGCATCCCGTGCACTGGAGTCGAGTGGTTGCCTGGCCGGAGGATGAGGTTGTCGAGGGTGGCGTTGCCGATGACGAGGTCGCCGGATTTAACATCAAGGGTAGTTGTGCCCTAGGGATGAGTCAGTGGTGCATTTGGTGGTCGAAGTGGGGACAGGAGCGATACTTACAATTTCGAGTGTTAGAACGGAGGGGTTAGGTAGGGTTGCGTTGGCGATGAGATTAGTTCCGTCTTCTCGAGCGGGGAGCAGGAGCTGAGTGTCTTTGATGGCGAAGCCTTCGAAGGAATTCAGGGCTGCGGATTGCGTTAGTTCTGATACCCTGCATGATCTGACACGCTGGCATACTGTTCTGGGGAATATCCTTGTCCATCGTGATGTGGTTTTTGATCTGTCCTAGATAGGCGGTGGTCTTGCCCCATACCGATAGCGGACCGTGCTTCATGAACACGACGTTGTGCACGTACTGCGTCCACTCGGCGACATTCAATGGAGTGAACTGCTTATCTACTCCCAGCGTCGTGTTGCCGCTGATCGTGTAGTCTTTCAGATACAATTTTCCCCATGTGCCATTTCCGGGTGAGGCACGGTTGAACAGACTTAAAGTCATCGGATCAATGCGCACCGGAACACCCAGAGGAAGCTTCAGTGCAGACTCAATCGTGAGCTGCACGGATTCAGGTCGGGGGTGCATGACGTCGGCTTTGACTAGTAGCAGCGTCGAGTTATCCACGACTCGCTGCGCAATGGCGGGGATGATGAGAAGGAAACTGTTGTTTGTTAATTTCCGTACACGCAAATCAAATGGCAAGGGGCTATACAAGATGGGTAAAAATATGATGAGAAAGATGATACTGAAGAAGAAATAGCAACACCAGAACCGAGCCCAATGCCGCCGGAGATTCTGCGTGGGCGTCCTCTTGACCTTCTCTAGAGTGATCGTATCGGCCGTCTCGATATGCTCAAGGTCATACCCCTCGCCATTCTCAGGCAGAGGTCCGCGATGGATTCCCACCGCATTTTTGGCGTCTTTGGAGGCGAGATAGTTCTTCTCGTCCATGGCTTGTGCAATGCCCTTGTTCGGACCACAGAAGTCGAGATTATACAGCAATTCACTTGCTCAGGCGACGCAACTGACTGACTTGGAGATATATCGGATATTAATATTATAAATTAGCACAGGTATGTGTGAGCGCAGGGTGCAGCTGCATATGCAGTCAGGAGAATTGAGATGAGAGAGAGAGCAAAAAATGTTTGATCAATCGATCTCTCAACCGATCAATATTGCGATGCATGAAACAATTGATTAATTGGCACCATCCCGTCATTTTGCAGATAACCGAATACCCACACATAGCGGCGTGCATGGCTATGGCTCTCGTGGGCACCATTTTCCGGGCCTCGGGGATTCCACCCCTTTGAGCTGGGACGATCTCAGTCTCAGCAACCCTCGAGCCCGTCGCCAACACTCCGCATAGATCGACGCTGCAACGCTGTCGATCGCTAGCGAGGGGTTGGACCGAGCCAATAACGGCGATTCATTGCCACTCGCAGGAGTTCACATGCGGAGGCAATAGGATGAGGATCGACAGCGACTATTGAGGAACCGCGGTTGTTTTGGGGGAGCGACTTAAGCTTCGCACCAGGAGAAAGGTTCCACTTGCCTTTCGGTCAGGAAAGTTGGGGCACGGAATCATTGCCTCATTGAGATGCGGGGGTGAATGGTAAATGATGTAGGATGACCATTGGAATTGTCTGGATTACGGCAATTTTTTTGTCCTTGTTTCTGCGTTGATCTTGATATTTTTGGGACGTGAGATGATGAAGAAGCGAGGTTGATGGTTATGGGCGAGACGTGCTGCAAGGGCGCGTGATTCATTCCAACCCTACTTTTCCCTCGGCCGTCACCACCATCGATCAATAGTCTATCTGTCTATCTATCAGTCATTTTTTCTATAATACGTCACTCCTGGAAGAGTAGCAAAATCACTTCAATCCCCCAGTATACACCATGTCTTTCTACGACGACAAAAAGTCCCCCGACGAGATCACCCAGTCCCCCACCAACACCTCCACTAAGTCTCCCTCCCCAGACGACTTCGAGAAGCTCGAGAAGCTTGAAATTCTTCCTCATATCCTCCAAGAGGGCATTCTATTTGCCGGATCCGGATCCGCACTGCTCCTTCAAGCCGCCTACCCAGGCATCAAGAACCGCATCAGCGACAGCCAAAGTAATGCCGGCGACAGCGGCGCCCTGGCCAAAGAACTCAGCGATGCCCTGCAAGCCACTTTAAGCTACATCGCCTGCCTCGTCCTAGGCACAGAGAAGGAGAAAAAGACCCTCATTGACCTCCTGCAGCGCGGGCAACCGCCCTTCCGCGCCAGCGAGACCTACACGTCGCACCCGCCCACCCAGCTCTGGGTCTCTGCCACGCTCTACGCCACCGCGACGGACTTCTACCAGCGCATCTACGGGCGCGTCAACTACCGCACCGCCGAGAAGGCCTACGCCGAGTTCACCCTCCTCATGCACGCCCTGGGCATGCCGACGGGGACGTGGCCCGAGAATCGCCAGGCTTTTTGGAAGTATTGGGATGACCAGATCGAGCAGTTGTCGGTGACTGCGAACGCGCATCGCTTTGCGAAGGACCTTTTCGATCGTACGGATCTACCCCGTTGGGTGACGATGTTGAAGCCGCTGATGCGGGTCGCGACTATCGAAATGCTTCCGCCGCGCATCCGAGAGGCGTACGGGCTGAAATCGACAGTGTCGACGAGGGGGTTGTATCGTACCGCGATGGGCTTCTCGGTGGCTATCTATCCTGCGCTGCCCAAGGGGACGAGGTCGTATGCGTTGCAGTATTATTTGGAGGATTTACGGAAGCAATTGAATGTTGTTTAATGTGTTTTATTTCAGTGCCTCTTTTATTTGGTTCTTGTTTGTCTAGCTAGCGGTTGAATTGTGGTTTGTTTCAATGTTCATATATTCGTTCGTATACATATGCAATACCAGTCATGTCATTTCATCTCATCTGCCTGCTGCCTGCCTGCCTGCTTGTTTACTCCAGTCGAAAGAAAGGAAATCACATCAGAGAGCCCAATAATCCACCCAGAAGTTTCGAGATATTTGAGACGAGCTAAATCGTTAGTTTCAAAGTTAACCCTCAAACCAGAGAACAGAACTTACAGGAGTCGCATCTTCAATCAGCGTCGTAGTATCATTCACAAAGGTAGGCGTCAACAGCGTATCGGCATTATCGACCAGACTCTGCAGCTTGTCGATGTTCTTGCCCGACAGCAACTTCTGCAGATTCTTGGGCGTGTCGCCGCCCAAGAGCACCGCACCGCCCTTGACGATAGTCTGCAGATCTTCCAGCGTGTCCTGGCTGAGTAACTCCTTCACCCCGTCGATTAGCTGCGGAAGGTCAGAGAGAAGGCCACCGGTGGACTCAGGAGCTGGCGCCGCCACCGGGTTGGGGTTGGGGTTCGCGATGGCCAAAGGGGCAGCAAAAATGAGGTACTTGAAGAGACGCATTTTGAAAGCGGACTGATACGCTGGCTGACTGAGGTGACTGGACTTTGGTTGGACTTGAAACGCAGACAGTTATTTAGGCTGTAGAAGGGTCTTTGACAGCTAAGTTGGTCTTATAAGTAGAAGATAAGTCGGGTTGCCCAAATTAAAATCCGTATTAAGGATGACCCCGCCTTGTCTCTGAATGATTAATTTTTATTGCTCTTTCAATTATAGTTTCTTCTATTTCGCTCGTCCTTCCCGGTCTAGTGAGTAGTGAGAGAACCTAGTACGCAGGATCCCGCAAGGTCGAGGCCACATTCCAGTCAAAGCTGACCGCCGACAGGGCAGTCCAGATCGCTCCATTCTCATTCGACAGGTGTTAGAGTGCCTCTTTTGCAGTCTGGCCTCCGAGATCTCCGATTTTCTCCCTTGAATTGAGCGATTCCGTCATTTTCTCCCCCGCTGCCGTCTCTCCCCCGCTAGCCACGACTCCAGCAGCTCACCCGAGGCTTATGGGGCGCGTCCGTGTTGGTTTCCCCATGAAAAAGAGGAAGCGGGGGAGAGAAGGATTCAATCCGGGGTAATACAGAGATAAGAAAGGTAACCATGTGAATATGACCTCGTATCTACCGTCCTCATTTAATCCAGCTTTCTACTATCCCGAACTAAACCCCATCTCACCCGAGAGACCCCGCATGAACTAGGGCTCGCTAAGTCACCTTCTCAGGTACTGCGGCTGTCGATCGTCTCCAGCGTCTTCACTTCGCGCCCAATCAGCCCCGAGTGGAGGCCTTTGCACCTCGGAACAACCGTGTACATGTGAATCGCCTCCCGAGCTTGTTTTTGGGTCGTTCCTGTCCGCCCCTGGCATTGGTTTCTGGCGATCCACTTGCCATATAGAATCCTGCATTGGCCAATTGATGAGCACCGTAAAACAAGGCACGCACTGCATACCGAATCCGGTAATGTGTCAATTTGATCTCTCTGCCTCTATGTCTATCTCTCTGTCTGTCTGTCACCTACGTCTTTCATCTTCATATGATCCCGACAAGCACACTCCAGCCGTGCTGATGTCCAACATCTTGATTAAATTATATTAATGTCTCACTCATTACACCTCCACTCAAAGCTTGTCTGCTTGTCTTTCGCCGTCTAGGTCCCCGAATTATGTAGCCACTTCCGTAATTTGACTAGGATAGGATGGGGACCCTGGCCAGGAAGCCGATGCCCGACCTCTTCCCCTCAGTAAGACAGACAGATCGTTCCGACATTCGTCATAGGCATAGGCATGAATTCGGACGTAGACGTAGACGTAGACATGATCCCATTCATTCAATCAATTAATCATCCCGGAGGAAAAATCCCCTCTCCCTTCCCCTCCCTAGCGTATCTGCAATCCATCCCTCTTTGCCGATCCCCTTCAATGCACGTAAGATCGTATCGGCCGGTGCCAATGTCCACCCTACAGCGCCAACGCCACGCCCAGCACACCCAACGCCCCCATGCCTCCCACGACAAGTCCTGTCGGCTTCGCTCCCCCCGCCGCAGCCCCCGAGGAAGTCGCCGATGCGGCGCTACCGCCCGTGCTGGACGCATCCGCACTGGCCGGCTCTGTCTGCGCGGCCGCCTTCTTCGGTGGCGCGGTCAGCGCCCCCTCTGCGATTTGGCTCTTCACGACAGACAAGTAGCTCTTCACGTCCGTGGGTAGACTTCCGTACCAGTCCGGGGTCTTGCCGGCTTTGAAGTCACTGGCTAGCGAGGCGCGCTGGGCGGGCACGACCAGTGCGGCGAGCGCGGTCGGAGGCAGCGCATGAACGATCTGGGGGATTATAGACCGCGGCGGAGGGTCGATGTTGTCGAGGTTGGCGGTTTGGGTCGGGATTTTGAGCGAGAGGGATTGGCTTGTTTTGAGGTTAGTATATACTGTACTTCTGCGGGACTTATGGGTATAGGTTTGGGGTAGGGGTGTAGTGATGGATGTATGTACATGGCATTTCCCAGCGAGGACCAGTTCACTTCGTCGCCAGTTGGGCTGGCTCGTTTCTCATGCTCGTGCTCATTCTCGACGGCAGCTGCCCAGGCCGTGGTGGAGAGGGCGGCGAGAATCCAGGCGAATTTCATGGTGATGGACGGTGGGAAAGATGCTGGGTGTTGGGATTGAAGGACAGGAGTAAACGTGCAGCTGAAAAGTAAAAGTAGATGGAAGAGTGTCTAGAGTTGTCTTAAGGGGAAAGTTTGTACCAACAAGTACTGGGCTCTTCCCGAGATCCGATGTGGAGAGTCCGTGAGCAGGAGTGGCTGCTGATCGTCATATCCCCCGGAAGTAACAGGCGCTGGGCCTAAAACTGGGTTAAATTGATTCCCATGTGCTACTGGTTACTGGTGTCTAGACTTTGTGTCGGATTTATGATTATGTTGATTATGCATTAGTTGTTGACAATGATGTATTGGGGCTGGAACATGCTGTTGTCTTTTATGACATAACTGTTCTTATTCTCCTTTGAGTTTCCCAACTTACTATCATCTAGGAATTGATAAATTATTCATGATTCATCATACTAAAATGAAATCGGAGATACATACTCCCTTTCAACGGATGCCCAGGTTTTCCCTCAATACATCCAAGCGACCCTCAAATCTCTAATTCCTTTAGATATTCGTAATATCTCCTAATTTTAGGAATTCATTGTCTAGTTATGCTGCAAAAAAAAAAAAAAAAGAGAAAAAAATTTCTACGACAAGGACGCGATTTGAACGCGCGACCCCTAGGGGATAAGATGACAACCCAATATAGGATTCAAGTCTTACGTCTTAACCACTCGACCACCTTGCCTATATTTGTGGGGCTAGCCAAGATTTTGAATTCTTGCTTTTGAGGATATTGTACTACTCGACTAGACGGGCTAGCCTATGTCTTCAGACTCTAGATATTGTCACAATAGTGGAGGTGGTTCTTCTACCCAGTATACATAGAAAAATCCTAACGCGGCATATATCTTTCATGTAGAAATATTTGTCAAAGTCTCGCACAACAACCATTCATTTCAATTCCAGAATTCACCACACTTCATTAACTTGGTCCATTTCCATAGACCTTCGACATGTCTGGGCTTGGAGTGCAGTACTTGGATTTATTTCTTCTTTGGATCCAAGACGATATGCTTGGAAAATCCCTCTGCTTCTCGTTTGGTCGACGGTTCAGGCTCCAATATAACAATGAGAAGAACAAGGAAGTTAAGTCTCAGTCGTTGGCTTGCCAAAAATAGTCACGAATTTGCAGATCCCGAGAGCATAATATCACTGTAATTGAAGAAGTGCAAGAGTTGGAGACACGAGATGAAGCAACTGGTTACCCTCTATGATGCGGATTGTTCCAACACTGTCATACATGAACCCTGCTGAGGCCGAGATGAGGGAGATCCAGTTGAGAAAGTTGAAACTACCATGCTTGATACTCTTGAATTGATGTATGCTATCAAAGGGACTCGCAAGATGTGGCCATAGCTAGTGAGTAGTGTGAGTCTAGGACCTTACGACGGGCGTTCTCTCATTGAAACCATCACCATGACAAACAGCACTCAGTTGATGTCCACCGAACAAGTCAATCTCGCTGCAGGTTACCGAGAAGTCAGCGCCAGCGGCCGCGAGAGCTGACAGAAAGAGAACAGAGATGAAGTGCTTGAATTGCACTTTGAAGAATAGAGAAAATCGAAATATTCACACAGGAGAACACAGGAATTCTAATTGATCAATGTTGAGCTGGAAAAGACCAGGAGAAAGGCCTGGTATTTATTCCTTCGGAGCATCTCAATCATTTTTTAGTATTCATTATCAAGCCCGTCCAACATGCATGGCAGTTTAGCCACCGGGGGGGCATACTTTCCTGCGCCTAGTATGGCCATCTTGTTCGTTTTCGTTTATTCTGGCCAGGGAGTCCATCCCCACAACGGCGCAGTAAGCCAACAAGGCTAATGATTGTGACCGTAGGTTGTTGTCTCCTTTTAATATCGGACAGTCTCGGCAGTCTCAGTTGCTCTCCACCTAGCTGAACATTGTTAGAGCCTCATGCAACGAAGTAGATCAATTTTATTCATGGCCTTGCTAAGTAGCGTGCAGTCTATGTTGCTTTCCTTCTCAACAACGGTGGTCACTACAGATTACATTGAGTCTCACACAGTGCTACGCATTTGTCTTGGTCTATCACCTAGACATGAAGCTAGCCTTTGTGGTGTCTGGGAGTGTAGCAACCGTGCCCCAGAGGTGCAAAGTAATGGGGGAATTAGGGGCTTAAACATACTATCTCACCCTAACCCGGCGGGGACTAGAGGATGGAACGTAGAATCCTTAGTGGCCTCAAACCATGACGGTTCTGACTATTTGGCCCTAAAGATGGGACTCGAATCCGCAGTACTCGCCAATTTTAAACTAGCCTCAAGCAACTCGACGTTTCTACGAGGGCTCAGCGCTATCTACGGAAGATACTCGGAGCCTTATCTTCTCTTTGTTGAATCGAATCCACGGAGGCTCAAATAGTGTTTAAAGTTGCAAATGATATTGAGTAAGTTAATTTTATTCGAGTCCCTTCACAGTCCAAGTCACAGCTTTTGCTGAATAACACGTTCAAACTAATCGTCGTGCGCCAATCTAAAACATGTACTCTCAACAACCTCATCTATTGGCTCCTGGTGATACTAACATGAGGCCGGGTCTTAGGTATTGAAAACTTTCTAGGGGTACCATGCATGAAGTGCGATGCTATTGCATGGCTTAGCAAAATCCCCACTCGGCAAATCAACAATTGTAGTGTTATTAATATTTTGGGGGCCAACCTACCAGCCCTAGAGAGTACAATGTGATTTTTTATTGCCAACAGCCTGGTAATCAAGCCGTTACAGCAACAGTAACATATCAGGAGTAGCAAGATATCCGGTAGTTTTTCTCAATATCGCAGCTTATATTTATCGACCCTTTTATCAATTATTATTGGAATAGGTCATTACCAATATATGGGGCTTAAAAACTTAAAATAGTGCGCAATCCTGAGCGCCATTCCCCGTTTGAGGCTCAATTGGCCCACTCAACAATTATTATACACTAGGTGGACTATGTAGGTACTGCCAGTAGTAGGGTAAGGATCATGAAATCGGGCGCCGAAATGGAAATACATTTAGAGATCATTTGTTCATATTACTCTACCTGAAACAACTTACCTCTCTGCTAACAGTTCGAACTTTCCTCCGTAGCAGTTAGGTTGACCATTACTGGGTAATTGGAATGTTAACCACGAGGAAATAGCGTAAAGTTTTCCACCCTTTCGCTATCTAGCCACCTTATATCGCGAATGAAAAATCTTGTTCTCTCATAATGTTGACGGCGGAAGGTTTTCGTCTGTCAAGCATTCAAGTAGGCTACGTAATCTGTACTTACTGTACAGTACACATATATCCACTTTTTATACACTGTATCCCATCTGGCGCCCTATTAGGTGTTCTGAAGAGGGTGAGTTTGTTTTCTATATCCTCGCATTCCATCGTATAAAGCAGAACTGCTGCATATGGGCAATTCGTTGATACATATTTACATATGGCTATGTAACCATTCATCCCTGGCAAGCTCCTTTGCGGAGCTACGCTTTCCAGGCTCCCATTGCAGCATTTTGCGCATGAAACGTAAAAAGGCCTCTCGATCCCCTTTTCCCTCAAGGGTAGTTTCCCTCTCCTCAAGCGGAACCCGGCTTGTCAGCAAACTTGGAGCAAGGAAATTACGTAAAGCCATCTAGTTAGTGAAATTGGATGCCAAAATCCTCAAAGTACTGTTTAAGGGCAAGAATCACTTGCCTTCCCCTGAGAAAAGTTTGTCTGTTAGCCGCCCTTGGGTAAGAAGACTGGGAGGTGGAGGACCAAGAAGGTTGATCATTTCCGCAAGATGCGCTCGACTCCGATACCTCTCAAACTCAGGGTCATCGCCCGTAAAAAAGGAACCGTCTTCATAAATATCCCAGATCTAACTTAAATATTAGTAGTTCACGCTTCTTAGACTAACATTATCAGTATTAAGGACTGTTCATCTCACCATACATCTCACATTCCATATATCGGCACTATACGTCCAAGGGACCCCTAGAAATACTTCCGGTGCTCGATAAATCTTGGGCTGAATGAAAATCGAGTGGTGTTCATTGCCATGTACGGCTGAGCCAAAATCACAAAGAATCGGGGCTGCAATGTCTTTTGGTACTTTGAGTTTCTGGGAGGCGTAGATTATCCTGCCGTCTGGGTCTACTTCTTTCCGCGGAACAGGTCGTTGAAGTTCGTTCTCCTCAAAATCAGTGGAGACTGAATCGTCCTTGATCCCGAACATGATATTATCGGCCTTGATATCTGACAGGAAGAATGGTAAGTAAATTGAAGATGTACAGAAAGGGGGAATCGGGGAGTTGGGTGGAAGGTGATAGATAATTTAGGCTACAAACCAGTGTGTGCGATCTGGCACTCTGTATGAAGGTAATATAATGCTAAGAACAGGCGATGAAGAACCACTGCGAGAACTGCAGAGGGTAGTCTTTCGACTGGATTGCGGCGTAAGAAAGCTAGTACGCTTTCCCATAATGGAGGATGCACAAGGCATCGGTGCTTATCCTGAGGTCCGTCGATATCAAATGTATCAAGTAATTTCTTATAACGTCGCGGCCGGCATGGGTGGTTGAAGATCGCTCCATTTGTCGGTATATGGAGAGCTCATTATCAACATGTTGGCCTATCGATGAGGTCTGGACGGAGATTTTGAGCATAACATAACGGCGGTTGCTAGCATCAAAGTAAACAATACATTCGACAGTGTAATTCTAGCCTCACAAGAGATCTCACTCCATATCTCGTGCAAGCCATGCAGTCGAGGTAGATACAAGTCCTAGTTTGCCAATGACTTGATATCTATATCTCTTTGATAACTTCCCCTATTTGGGTTGGATAATAGCGCGAAGCGATATAATCTGGCAGCGTCTCTTCAATTTTTCTGCCCTTCAGGTATGCGGACGAAGTTCGGGTTAGAGAAATTGAGAGGTTTCCATCTCCGCCCGACCCGGGGAAAAGATCGCCAAAGCGATGAGAACATGGCAAGTGCGAAGACGAATGGTTCTGTTGTGTTGTAGGTTGTGGCTACTTGGAAGCGTTATTTTTTGGTCGCGGAAGGGATGAGCGTAAAGCCCGATATAACTGTCCTTAAACGGCAAGATGGCCGAGTGGTTCAAGGCGGCAGGTAGTCCGATTGTCAGTCCGGAGTCTTCGGCCATTACCTAGTACTCTTGTCAACTTTTGGTTTCTCTATTCTCTTTTGCGTCATTTCTAGACATATAGTTTTATTTCATATTTATTCATTATTGAGTTTAACTCTCACTAACCTCTTCGTCCTCCTAGTTCCGACCCAATAACATGTATCACGGCATCAAGCTCCGACAATAACCTCATATTTGCGCACATAGCTATTTTTGATCGTACCAAACCAATCACAAACATCGGAGGAAGAGGGGGAGCATCTCATCACTCAAAGTACAGCCAGGCAGCTATAAGACCTGGTAACATGACAATCACTAGTGCGGAGAAAGTCGCTCCTCACACACAACAGAAGCGGCAGTTCAAATAGGTAGCCTTGCTTCAAAGGCACCCATCGGCCTTCCCATCTCTCCCCCTCTTTTTGAGCTACAAGTGAATATAATGGGCTCAATCAGTCCCACTGAGGGGCTTGCTCAAGCCGCACCAGAGAGCCCATCTGGTTTCGCTCCAGGTCGAGCTGCGAATGGTGATCAGCGCTCTAAGGCACAAGATAGCCCTCAAATTAGCTGGCAAGACGTCCTCAAATTACTCAAAGAATACCAAATTCGCTATGACCAGCGATTCTTGGACTTGGAAACGGCTCTTAATCATCGCGATCCCACCCCGCCTGCCTCACCTGAGCGGAGAAGTGGTAATGCACACCACACGAATCAATCTCAACCCAACACACCCGCGGTTCGACTTGCACCTTGGAAAGCCGAAGAGATGGGCTATTTTCTTCCTGATGCATCAAAGCACAATCACAAGCCCCAACTTTATTACCAAGATGTGTATCTTTTTGTTGAACGAATGCGTGACGTGACTCACCTCAAGGGTCAAGACACTGTGAGGGCCAATATTTTCAGTTGCTTGAAAGGCGCGGCACTGGCTTGGTTTACCACTGAGCTTACTACCACGGAAAAGGATGGTTTACGCAATAGTTCTCTTGAGGATGGCTGGTTTCAAGTGCTAATTGACCGTTTCAAGCCGCGCCCTCATGAAGCATTGGAAAAGCTGATGAAAATGACCTATGGACTAAACGACGTCAAGCAGGGTCGCAACCCACGTGTCTTTGTTCAAGAATTTCTTCGCAGCGCTCGAGCCGCTCACATCGAAAAGTTTTCTCAACTGCTGCTTGTCTGGAATCATTTGGATGCCTCCCTGCGCCGCGACATTCCAGAACCTTCGTCAAATACGACATTGACAGCGTTCTTGCAACAACTTGATAAGAAATACGACATTTGGCGGGATCTGGCAGCTCAAGAGATCAAGTCTTGAAGAACGAAACGCAGTAGCCACATCTTGACTGATATCATCGCAGCAATTCATCTTCTAATGTTTACCAAATTGTTATCCGGCACTGACCTCTTTGAGGGTTATCTCTTCCCCATTGTAATGAAACGTTTATCCTAGTCTCCCAAATTGATCCGTCTTAAACAGAATTCCATGTTATAACAATTCCTAATCATTTCAGTTTCCAAAACTTCGAAACAGCGTCAGTTCTGAGGTCAAAAGCCAACAAAAAGCCTTGATTATGTGCAGCCATATCAAGTATAAAATTCAATAGACAGGTAGCTAGGTTCATCAGTATTTTGACTGCAGCACTCCATAAGTCATACCATATATTAATTAGTTCACAACTAAGCAAGGGAGCAGGTTTATTGAGAAACCTTTCTCATTGATGACACTCCATTCTGTTGGGAATGCTGTGCAGCACCCTCGCTTCCATAGCCCGATTAGGCTCAGTGCATCCCATAATGCCTATAGCTGAGCGCTGCAGATCTAGATAGGAACACACACCTTCGCGCATCCATTCCTGCTCAAGATATTCAATGCTTCGACTACCCAGTGGCCGCTTCCAGCTCAGCAAAAGATGGCGTATACATGGCGGGATACAAAGGTATTTGACAAAGAATAACGTGAATCTAGGAAACTATATTATGTTAAACTTTCAATGATTTCATGAAAGCGCTCAAGACAAGACAGGTCGCATATCGACGCCCAAAAAACGATGCTATTGTTGAGAGGTTGCCCAAGTACCTCCGCTCGCTTACATTACTGTATGTAGCTTAGCGCCGATTCTGGCGGAAACCGCCAGTAGGCAAGGCCTATCTATATAAGGATCCTACGATCCACCTCTGGTGAATAACACACGTTGCACCTCACCAGTGTTGGAACACAGGGACGTACCCTTCCGCCTGCCCTGGGGTTCGACATCGCTTAGTCATCACTTAGTAAGCTAGATATCTTAGATAGTTGGCCACACCGGCCATCCAATACACAACACATCAATCGTTTCCCACAACCAGCAAATATGAAGATCCAGATCGTTTCAGACCTTCATCTAGAATCTCCTGCCGCGTATGATGTCTTCGAAATCACCCCCAAGGCGCCATATTTAGCGCTACTAGGCGATATCGGCTATGCCAAAGACGCGGGGCTGTTTGACTTCCTCCGCAAACAATTGGAAGCATTCCGGGTTGTTTTGTTTGTATCGGGTAATCACGAAGCGTATCACAGCAGCTGGCCGGAGACAAAGTCTGCGCTCGTCCAGCTCAAAAAGAGAGTGGACGACGCTCGAGGACGCGATGAAGCGCTCGGTGAACTTGTCGTTTTGGACCAAGCCCGTCACGACATCTCACCAACCACCACCATCCTTGGATGTACTCTGTTTTCGCACGTGGCCGAAGCACACAAGCAAAACGTCAGTCTCGGTATGAATGACTTCTACCTCATCGATGATTGGACAGTCGAAACCCATCAAGAAGCGCACGCTGCCGATGTAGCGTGGCTGAACGAGCAGGTTGATCATATTTCGCGCTCCGAGCCCGAGCGGAAAATAGTCGTGTTTACTCATTACTGTCCATCAACCGATGATAAGGTTGTCGACCCGAAACATGCTAACACCAAAATCATGTCGGCGTTCATGAGCGACCTCTCTACCGAGCCGTGTTGGGAAAATCCGGCCGTCAAACTCTGGGCTTTTGGTCATACACATTATAACTGTGACTTCCAAGACTCGAAAACCGGGAAAGTAGTGACCTCAAACCAAAGAGGATATTATTTTGCTCAGTCGGAAGGGTTTGATTGTGAAAAGACCTTTGAAGTGTAGTGTCCCCATGGTGACGAGCTCTACTCTCTGTTCCGTTCCGTCCATTAGTAGCGAGAAATAAAGAAATTCGACTTATTTGTCAACTAGTTTTCAACGGAAGACGATGTTCTTCAATCAAGTTCAATCGAAGTTCATCAAGTATATGAAACATCGTAGGGCCCGACAGTTTTGGCGCATGATAAAATCTTCTGTAGCATTCTTGCAGTATGGTTGCATCGAAGAGATCTGTACTGTCGACAAATTCTAGTAAAAAGCTCAGAATGGCCATCCAGTATCTCTCGTGGGCAGTGTCGTAGTCCCGGCAAAGCAGCAGGAATCAAGCGAAGTACTGACATCCCACTATCGTGGGTACTCAACAGAGAGTAAGCAAGTAAGTAGTTGCCCCAAAGCAGGTTTGGAACGCCTATCGAGTCGAGCATACTTTGTATTGACGAGAAAAACCATTGCTAAGGCTCTACTTGATCAAGGGAGATTCCTCCATTGCCGATGCACTAAGTAAGTGCTTGGAGACCTGCGAGAAATAATGACAAAAGTCACATTTTAAGTGACGAGATAAAAATGGAAACCCCGCACGTCAGGGCAATTTATTACGTATAGCTGCAGGCTCCCATACTGAGAATAGCCCAGAAATGGAGGTTGTTTTACACGGGGCGGGTTTGCTTGGACACGCATCGACGGTGTGTTTCACTGGTCGAGGGAAGGGGGCTTTGCCTGCAGCCCTGGAAGTGCTAACCTAGTATGTATAGTAAGGGGTCATATACCTGACTAGTAGGGCAAATCACCCTCTTACTTGGTTCCAGTCGAGGCATGGAAACAGTTAGTTCTAATTTTAGTACATTAAGCGGGCTTTCTGAGTTCTCGAGTATTCCAGTGTCAATCTAGAATCGGGAATTGAGAACCAATCGTTATCATCGATCGCCATTAATGAAATCGAGTAACCTCTGGCTACGTCAATCAATATTTTCTGAACTTTCTACAGATACCGAGATAGTATGAACTCAGTGCGTACGCTGTATAGAACACCTGAACAGATGGTAAACGATCTCAACAAGCCACAACCTACTCCTCCACCCACACATATAACAACATATAGCAAGATAAAACAAATCTACAGAAGCCTCCCACCATTTCATCCCATCACGGAAAAAAAAAAAAAAAAAAAAGAAAAAGCAAAAGAAAACCACAAGCCACGTCCCCATTCGCCCATTAACGTCGATCAATCACGACACCCATCCCGCCCCCTTCCCCACTCTTCAACCAGCAAAGAATGAATTGAGAGAGAGGGAAGGGGAAGAGCAGCAGAATAGGAGCTATGACCCCTATCCATCGCCGAAATCTTACCCGTAGAGGTCTAGCTCATCATACTGTACTGTACATCCCAGCCCAGTCTACCTAGCAAGGTCAGCAGTTAACACAACAGCCACTATTAGTTATTCATAACCATAACCAAACAAGGTGAGAAACAGACCAAGCGCAACGAACACTAGACCCGACGGTCTTGGCCTGTACGTAAGACGGGTAAGGAGTCCTTTCCTGGTCCGATCAGTCAGATGGCTAGCTAACCAACTAACCAACCGACTAGTTGGTAAGCTACGAAACTTAGTCAGGTCACGTCAGTCGCCTAGGTAGGTAGGTAGATAACATTAGTCTAGTGGTCTGTGTCAGCTCGTATATTTGTGGATACGCCGACACGGACACGAGCGGGGTTAGGTCGGATTTTGTTTGTTGGGAGGAAGTGAGCTCGTAGTAGATAAATAAGTACGGAGTACTGTACATACTACGCTCAAGGAGAACAATCGAATGATCTGTCGATTAAAGCTATAGGGTACAGATTACGCACGGATCTAATGCGGTGAAGGCGGCTGGGACAATCGGCATATAGTATACGCACGAAGAGAGGAGAAGGGAGAAGACATGGTCCGGGTGAGTTGGCTATGCATGCGGAAACATCGCGGAGGGTGGATAGTTAGTTCCTCCGACGGAGGTCGGGATGAGGTGAGGATTAGGCTTATTTAGTTGGGCTACATACCTAGATTAGGTAGGTGGTTGGAGAAAAGTACGGAGTAGTTACGGCAGTGAGATATGAGATGAGATGGGTCAATGTAGGTCTGGATGTGATATGTAGCTTTTGCCGATGTGAGGGTGGAATATTCCGTAGGATTTCGAAGATTGTTGGTTATTGTTTGATTGATATAACTTGTGGAGTACTTACGCCGTCGGTACTTTCTTGTTTTGTTGATTCGTTTTGACTCAATAAGATGGTGAATTTCGCAAGGCTGGGGAAAGGCAAGCGAGCGTATGTACGGAGTAGTGCTTACGAGACTCAACCTGCAGGACAAGTCCGGTTTCAAATTATGGGTCGTGTGAACCGCTCAAATAAGGGAGAAGCGTGTGACGTGACTAAGAAACGTAGAATTAGTTATTCCGAAGGCCAATTGACCTACCTTGCTTATGGAATCGGACCTTTGTTCATTGGTGCTAAATCAGTTTAGTTTTCGAGAGTCAGACTCTCAGTCAGGGCTTCGGTCCTACTCTGCGTGTGTGACGCATGGTACGACTCATGTCAAGTCAGACCTAATTAAGTTACTCCGTGAGGGCAGGATCCAAAATTTTAGAATTTTTTATATGGGCTATTTTGGCCATTTAATTCATGTTTTCCCCAAAATGTAAGTCATAAAAATAGATAGAAGCAAGGCTGACGATGTTCATGTCATCGAAGCCAGTATCCACGTCGAATATTGAGATACATAGCCGGTTCCTCCCGGACAGATGGCATAGCCCGGTTTGCCCTTTGCCGAGCAAATGTTGTATGAGGCATTAGACGTTCGCATCCGATATCGGCTAGTTGAGGTCGCTCAATGTCCACGCCCGCTTGGGTCTTTTGAGCCTTGAGCTGGTCAGGCATCTCCAATTGTTGCAGATCCGACAGCCGAAGGGCCGGATCGAAGTTGATTAGAATGATCGCCTGATTACCGGGGCTCAGGCCTTCCTGGTCCACGGAGTAGAGTATCGACCGCTCATCTGAAATCGCATGTACCTTTCCTGCTCTTTTGGACGGGCATAGAAGTCTGTTAAGCTCGGGTGGGGCATCATCTGGAGGCCATAGAGATATCCCGCGAGATGTGTAACGCTCTTCGCTATTCTCCAGCGGAGTGCCGTCCGGCGAGGCCAATTCTGGTTTGTACAAAAATCCCTTGGAACCTTCGTCTCCGTCCTCGTCGATGGGGCATTTGCGTTTGCGCGAAGCCACGCGCAAACGCAGTCGGTCGTGTGGCACGAAACAACCGCCCGACGGAGGGCTCGGGTCATTAACCAGATCGACAAAGCTCGAGGCTGAAATGTTGTATGTGCGAAACTTTGTTTTTGCAAGGATGAAGTCCTGGCGTGGAGTTGGGCTAGTAGCACTGCCGCTGCCGGAGGCACCTAATTGGTATTCCTGGTGGAAATGTCGGCGTAGACGTTTCCGCGGCCGCTCGTAGTTGGGCTTATTGTGAGAATTCAGGGTTTTGGTCAACGGTTCGTCGGGCAATGGGGCGGGGGCTGAAAGCTGTCCTGCGTTGCCTCCCTGCCGCTTACTCTGGCGGATCTCAGCGGGCGACGGCAGAGGCTGCACGTAATACGTGCGACAGTTTTCGCTGCCACCGTCACGCCACTCACGCCGACACTCCAGAACCATGAGTTTATTCGTCGACTCGTCATGTCGCAGCGAGAGATCGGACCAGGTGTCGTTGATTGGACCCTCGCGATGCTGTCGCCGCCAAGTTCGGTTAAGAGTCACAGAGCCCGTATTCCTGCCCGGCGACAAACATACCCAGACGTAGAAAGACGTCCAGTCGACTTCTTCCTCCTCGAAGTCCACCTGCGTCGACACAGCGTAGAGATGCTTCTCGTGGACGCCAAAGCAAACCGTTTGCCCGACCTCGTACCCGGCAAAATTGTGCAATTCGATTGGTTTCTCGGTGATATGCTGCCCCGTTGCCAGATCGACGCAGCTGACCGCCCATTGCGGATATCCGTGGTAGCCCAACGCCGAGTGGGTGCCATAGTAGAGGTAGGCGTCGTCGTGACGAACGAAGAGCCGCCGTGTGGATTGGAGCTGCGTCCGGAGGCGCAGTCGCCCGCTCTTCCCGCAATCTCTCTTTCGCCGCATGTCCACGGCAAGCAGCCATGATTCGCGCCGTTCTACAATCTCTACAAGAAAAGCAAGCAACCCGTGTCCGTATTGCATCAGGGATATTTGCGTCGTGTCCTCTGCCGGATTGCATCCCGGGATGGCGCGGGAAAGAACGCTATAGAGGTTGAGCACCTGTTCGATCCGACTGCCGCCGTGTACATCCAAGGCGCGGATTTCGTCATTGTAGATGTAACAAAGGGAGCCGCCGCTGTACAAGAATGCGCTGCCGTAGCCCAAAACCGAGGCTGAGTAGGGTTGGGCTGTGGCGAACGCTTCTTTGATGTCAAACAACCGCCCAACTGCTCGGCGATAATTTTTCGATTGTTTGGCCTCTTGGCCTTCCTTGGTTTGGAGGAGGTTGTTCTAGATTTGGTCAGTATGTAGCCATACAAAACACGAAAAGGAGGAGAGAGAGAAAAAAAAAACCGAAAGAAAAGAATTACGCGAACGTAATAGGCTGACTTGAGAAGGGGAACTCACCTCGATCGTTTTTCGCGCAATTGATTCACATCGCATCAAATCATTGAGCGATCGGTTCACGCGACTCAGGTGGATGAAGTCATGACAGTCCAATGTCGAAGCTACCTGGTAGAAAACATCGTAGGGGATAGAATCCAGATTCTTGGTCACGACCGTCATGACCGAGGTAGTGCTGTGTGATTTTCCAAAACATCTGAAAGGGGAGTTCTGGGGTTGGAAGTCGTAAAAGAGGTTATATGATCGGACAAAAAAGTAAGCGGCTGATCTTGGTGTTTGCCTCCCAGAGGACTAATATAGAAAGAGCAGTAGAAAGATGGGGACGCATGGATCCACACAAAGACATTTA